TCAGAATTGTTCAGAATTTTTGGAAATAGATAAATGTACTTCGTGAAAATAAGAATTATTATTTTCAATCTGTAAGATCGTCTGCTTTTTGGGGTTAAAAATTTTTCAATTCGAAATTGATTCGACCTCGTTAAAAATCTTTATATACTTTTTTTGAAAATGATTTTTAAAATTTGACAAGATTTTTAAGTATCTAGATTCGTTTTATAAAAATCATAAAAACTTTGATGAAAAGCGATAATTATGTTCTGTTAAATATTTAATAAAAATTAATCTTTAAGATTCTTCATACAAAGTATTATTTTTAAATTTCACCATTTTCGGAAAACCATCAAGCGAAAATATATTTTCAGAAAATCAATTTATGAAAGAAGAGTTCTTTTCTACCTTCTCCAAGGAAAATGTAACGTGTTCAAGACGAGTTTTCTTTTACACATAAATGGAATACAAATAAATAGAATCTATTCAGTTTCATTGATTACCTTTAAACTTCAATTTTCCTTTGAATTTCATTATCGATATATGTTTATCAACATTGAAAAAATTAGATTGATGTCTTGACACATGTCTGCTTGATGTTAGGCGATATAAATATTTTATATTTTTATTTTCTTTATGAATAAACGATTAATCCAATTTATCGAAGACATATGAAAAAGAAGATACAAGATCTATAATTGATCATTTTAAAGCATTTTATCGTGTCGAAAAGATATTAACGTATCAGTTCGATAAACAAAAGAGATGAAGGCATCGAAATGTTCTTTAATATCCTTGTTCTTCTCAATTTTATTCGAGACAAGTCCGTGATCCTCCTCGTCATCTTGAAATTCCACCTTATTCTAACGGTAGACGAAGATGAATGCTTGTGGTATGGCTCGTGAAGCCATTTCCTCGTCTCTGGAGTTGGATATCGATTATATATTAAGAAGACGTATGAAGTTCGTGCGTGATACACACTTGTCTACGATTTCTTCGTAAAAATCCGATACCTATCTTCTCTTTTATGTGGAATGAGAAAAAAAAGTAACAGATATTAAATTGATGAATTAAAGTTCATGAATTAATTAATTTTTTGTATAATAGGTTTGTAAAAGCGCCAATAGTGATCAGGTACTTAATTGAATTATTATTAACTACTTTAATATAATTATCTACTTCTTTTTAATGTTTGATATTTAATTAAATAATCACGTAAGACTTTTATATCAGTAAATATATAAATATGTATTTTTACATATTTATATATCACATTACGTACATCAATCTGATAAAAATGAAAAATAATTATTTGAAAGAGTAAAAAATAATAGTCACCATGTCAATTACGCGACCTTAAATTGATTATGAGCAGCAAGTAATTACATTACAATGATATATTCCTTGATATTACGTGCTTCGAGCTCGTTAGGTGTAAACGATATCGCCTTGATTGACTCGTTGATTAAGATCGATTACATCGGCTTATAATTTAAGTTGCGATGATAATTTTTCTAATTTTACATTTCATTAAATATGTCAATATGTTCAATATTTTATATGTCTATATAAAAGTTCAATGAATTTGTAATAAAAAAACAAAGTAATGAAAAATCATAAAGTATGAAACAGCAGGTATTGTTTTATATTTTTATCTTATCTATCTTATTGATCTCTCCTTGTTCAACCAATATTTTATCCCATCATTTTTCACGAACTTACACAGAAATAAAAAATTGTTTGGTAATATATTACTCCAATAGAAGACATTTCCAAATATCTTAACTCAACAAGTAGAAAATAATTACTAATACAACTTCACGAGATCTATTTTCAAATGTGTATGTCCTCCATGTTTTATTAAAATATCATCAATAAAATCATATATATATATGTTCAATTTAAATATACGTATGCGATTATTTTCATTTATATTAAAAATGGAAAGAAAATATTTCGGACGAATGGTATATGGTGTCATAAGAGGAAAACATCGTAATGATAATTATTTTACTTTGCGATAATTTATGAAAGTTGCGTTTATATTTTTAAATATGAACTATATTTTCTTTTTAATTTTGATATTATTTTAGCCGAAACTGAAACGTTATTAAAACTAATAACTATTAAAATAGTTATTAAAATAGTTATTAAAACTAATAACTATTGCTTATATCTTATGTTTTTCGTAAAAAATCATTATCAAGGTATTAAATTTCAAAGTTAATATGCCTTACGTTATGTGCGGCATTATCGTTACCCCACGTACACCGAAGAGAAAGTAGCTCTGTCGATCTTAGAACGTAACGGCATGGTTTTGGGCGAAAGACGTTAGTAATATTTTGATAACGATCCGATATCAGCTACAAGAATATATAATAAAAAATATAAAGTTCTGTTAAAAAATTTACACATGATCTTTATAAAGCTCTCTTAAGTCATCGCAATGTTAAATAATTTTCATCACTGTATTTCCATTACTGTATTGACATCATACAACATTTTTTACATTTTTGGTACACAAAAAAATAATTACTTACATATATTTAAATCCGACATATTGTATAAAATAAGTTTGATCACTCTTATCACAAAGTATCTAAATATATATTTCTTTCTTTCGATCGAAGCTAAAAATATAATACAGAATCAGTAATGGAAATCATTTGCAATGACTAGTAAGTATTACAAGTCCTATAGCTAACATAGGATAAGTGTACTGGTCACGGAGATAGCTATGTACGTAAGTACTTTCAAGAAGCGCGATATAACGGACGTGCGTTTCACTGACTCCCTTACGTGTGTTTGTTTCTTGGTAAGATCTCAAGATCGATGGTCTACTCGATTGGTCTACCGTCGACTCGTAGACGATCTTTGGAACCATTGGGAACCATCGTCTTCATATATTCCCCTTATGTCAGCAAGAACAGTCTCGAGAGAATTGCGAGAGATAAAAAAAGAAGGTTGCACCGGTTTTCCAAGATGCTGGACAAAGAACGGGGTTGGCTATTGATACAATGACGGTGACGTTGGCAGCTCTTTCGAAATAAGACTATACACCTACGTTCGCACGCGCGCCCATACACATGTGCGCATAAACATGTACATACATGCACAAGTTTTCAAGAAACAATGGATTCTATTTTTAGATGTCTTACCTCGATCATATTTGATTTTCGGCTAATACACTTTTGAAGAATATCGCCTCTGAAAGCGGAATAAAGAAACGACAATGAAAAAGATAATAGATAGATAATGAAAAATTTAAGCTCGATAGACGTTCTTTGGTCTAATTAGTGCCTCGATTGGAATCAATCAACTTTCTAATTTATTTTGAATGAAAAGAAAAGAACAATTAATTGGTTTGAATTAAGCCTGATGTGTCCGATCACTTTCGAAAAGCTTTTCTTAATATTTTATGATTACGATAATAGAAAAATATTTAATAACATGAAAGAAAGAAAAAATGTATCAAAGTTTCTAATTACTTGGAAAAAGTTTGAATTAATATCGGAGTATTTTTTATTATATGTATAATCATGATGTTTCTATTTCGAAGTAACTTAGTTCAAACTAAATAAAAATCCACTAATTATATATTTAGTAACGGTTGTCTCGAACTCGAATTTTTGCTACTTAATTTACTAGAAACTGTCGATACCCATTCGACCAATAAAACGTAGAGAACAATAAGCCAAGTTTCACGATAAACTGAACGAACTTATGAAAATAATTTTAAGTTCAAAATTATGATTAAATGCGTTAATTATAATTAAACGCGAAGCTCCAACTTTACTTGCACTTAGGAAAACTTTACGTTTTCCTTATTATGAATTCGGTGAAATGCATTTGAATGCATGATCATAGGAATGAATTTTTGAAAAATATAAAGAAATAAAAAATATAAGAAAAACAATAAAATCGATTCTGAAGATAAAAAGGAAATTCTTATTGTCTGTATTCAACTTTTTTTTTAACAAAATTCGTACTAATATTGATGAAATCTTGCAGTAACGTATGAAAGTGAGAGCGAAAGTGAGAGAAAGAATGGGTGCGTGCGTGTTTGTGTGTTAAGAAGTATCAAATTCGTAACAAACTTTTAACAGAATCAATTTATGATAGTACGAGAACTTTGAAGGTGTCTATGGCGAAAACGATCGATAACGGTTATCGTGGTTGTTTCCATGGTTACATCAAAGCTCGTTCATTAATGCTCAAGTAAGATTATACAGTCACCTTTTACCTTATCGATGATTCATCTCTAAATAGCGTCAATTAAATGGCATTTGTTCATTACCTAAATCCAATGTGACATCTTTGCGAGATCTTGATGATGTTCAATTTCTTGTCTCGCTTTTAATCGCGAGTTTAATTAACAAAACTCATCTCATTTGATTTCTTCAAATATAGCGATGGTTTTAATTGATAACAGGATTAATATATGCTATTAATCTATACGATTCTAACGGCACGATATTTATTTATAAATCGTTATTATAATTTACAATATTGATAATGAAATAATAATAATAATAACAACAACAATAATAATAATAATATAAAATAATAAAAATAATTTATATTATGCATCATTGTTAAATAATAATTTTGATGAATATTTCATTAAAATAAACCTGCTCAGGAATATTTCATTCCATTTTGAATATAATTATTGAATAGCTGAGGACGAATATTTTTTTTTATTTAAAATGTTGAATATCATGTAAATATCGAAACTTTATAAATTTTACGAAGGAAACGTTTTCGTGCTGAATTTCATCGCAAGAGAACGTTGTATGAAATTTGAAGTGGTCGAACAACAGAGTAAATAAATTGAATAAGCCGCGACGAAAGGCTCCGAGAAAATAAATATTTGATTTAACTAACGGGAGGTGGAGAAGTAGGTAGGTAGAGGTAGGTAGAGGTAGGTAGGTAATACTCGTTTTTTATGCCAATCAGATATATGCGTGGATATCGATTCTACGTTCGCGATATTTGCCTACATATTATCATCTGTTATCTGACAACCCCACCGAATAATTTCAGTATATCTATTTCTGTCGACCATCAGTCTCATTGTTCACAAGAAACGTCCCATGGAAGTTCGTTCAATAGGTTGTACATATTTACGTCTTTTCGATACGCAACTCTCGTTTACTACTGCAAACGTATCATCGTTCCTCATGAGTATTCGAGTATCCTTACGCGTTCGAATCGAAAACGACATTCGTGAAGGACATCATCATTGCTCTATTCTATAGGTAACGACTGGCGACACATTGCAATTTATATCTCACATCGAAGTGGACGATATCGCAAAATATTGACGTATCATTCATTAGATAAATAACATTTAAAAAATCAATAACAATAGATAATTTTTAATAACAATAAAATGTGATCGGAGATTTGTATAATTAACTAATTTCTTCCAATTGGAACAAATAAAACAATTCAATCATTAAATATGTAACTAATTGCTGTACATTTCACAGATGTTCCTGTTATTAACTGCCGTTTTGAAATTAGGGAACTTATGGATTAATTCTTAATTCCAACGTGTGACGATCTAGTTTGAGAGAGAAAAAGAAAGGGAGAGAGAGAGAGAAACAAAAGGAGAAAGATTATTTTTAACAGTATTTCATCGTTAACGAGTTTTTTAATCTTTCTAGGAGCTTTCTTAGGCCACGTCAGCTATCGATTCATACTTCCTTCGATTAGTCTTGATTGTGAGTATAAGGGAACATGGAGATATCAAATGTTCCATCTATATCTCGCTGCCTATACGATTTACTTTACTTCTCATAGAAATGGGTCGAGATCTTTTGCATTACAAACCAAATTTTGAATCCCATTGGTTTATTATGAAGCTTATTTATCGCAATATTTCAGAGGATATGCGTATACTCTGCAAAAGGTGATTACGTGTTTTACTTATTGATAAATTTAAAGAAAAAACAATTCTTAAACTTTCTATATTATAAAAGATATATAATTAAAATTTTTAAATTTTTAATTGAAAAATTTTTAATGAAATTTACAAATTATTCGTAGAGATCATATTTTCGATGTTCATTTTTCTACGTTAAAATCATTAAGAAATGCTACCGACAGTAAAATATCAAATAGCAGTTTGTGGGTCGGTCAGCCAACAACGATAAGTATAATAATATACAGCATCGTTACACCGATAATTTCTACTCTTGGAATAATTGGTAACATTCTCATTCTTGCGGTTATCTTAAAACGATGTCTGAGGACCTCCACTTATACGTATCTAGCAGGTCAGAAAATAATTTATTTTTTCTCACTATATATGTGAGCATCTTAACAAACGATTATTACCAAATTGATATCGATATCATACAATAAATAAAAATCAACAAAGAGAAATTAGAAGAAATAAATAATTTTTTTAATAAATTTTATATTATTACAAGGAAAAAATGCCTAAATGCACATGTATTATCACTTTATTTTTAAATTATTAAGAATCGTCTTACTATATTAAACAAGAAAAAAATTAATTTAATAAAATAAATTTTTTTTATAGCAAACAATAATATTTTTAATAATGCATGTATAAAATGCAAAACTTCAAATACCTCAAAATAGTATAAAATCAACTTATTCTAGTTATAAAATAAAATGGCTTAATTTGAACATTTAAGCATTTATGCTTAAATGCTTAAATGTATGCTATTACCGAATATCCATCTTATTCAAACAACTTTAAACAATTTATTAAAAATAATGCATTCGATATAGTACATAATAATAATAAAAAATATAATGATGATATCAATTTGGGAACTCGTGAATGTTCGCATGAAACTATTTTTGAATGTTTCGACCTATTGATTATGGGAAATGAACGGAATTGGCAGTCCTAGCCAGTGCTGATCTCGTAACGTGCACTCTCCTTCTATTCTCTGGCCTGGCAAGAGGAATTTTCTGGTGCAAATCAGGTTGGCTCGAGTTCGATGCCTTCGTGCATCTTCCACTTGGCTCAATTTCATCCAATATCACCGTATGGGCTACCGTGTGCGTCACCATTGATAGACTTGCGTTGGTCTGGAGGTAGGTAGCGTGTAAATGTACGATGTACGTATATGCATATATGAATGAGAGAGAGAGAGAAAGAGAAGAGGCTATTATTTGTCTTAAGCAAATAATACTGATTTCAGGAATTAATATCAATTCTATCGATCATGATATCGATTTAGATACTTTAAATTCTAAAAATGAACCTTACCGGACGAACCTATGAGATAAAATTTACTCATTAGTAACGAATAGTTATTTCATAAATGAAATATAGTTTCAAAATAAATATTTAAAAAAATTACTAATTTCATCGATTTCCTTTTATATAAACGTTGAATTTTTGTTCATTTATTAAAAAGATAAGAATAGAATATTCACATCAGAATAATGTCGTTGATACATAAATATTTACAAAAGAGTCTATTGATATAAGAACATTGCGAAAAGATAACTGTATGTAATTTTAGCACTTGAACTCTTGTTGCTCTTAATCTTGTCAACGTGACGGTTCAGCTTGTACTGACTCATTCTATGCCCCTTCAGATCCTCAGGCTTGCCAGCAAGTAAAGGGTGCAATAAAGTGCAGGTCAATAAAACTTTTCCGCACTCACACGCTACTAACTATATATATGTTTAAATAATTATATATGTGGGTATTATCGGTAAACTTCAACAATAAATAATTATGTAAGATATTATTACGTAATATAAATTATAAATAATGAACTTAATCGTATTCATGATAATAAATAAAGTTTGTTCGATCGATTTTGACGAAAAGGAACAAGGAGAAAAAATCTTAAAAACCATTATCTAACTTCTTTTTCTTCTTTTCTTCTTTTTCAATGAGGAAAAAGTTATATATTTGCTTGCGAAATTATATGCGAGAAAGTTTATAATGAGTTAAGCTCTTTTGTTTTAACCCCTAGCCAGCCAAGTTGTAAAACTCCGAAGTTCTGCAGTCAGCACATCGCCCGAAAGATGATGATCGTCTCAACCTTCTTTACTATCATCATCAATGTCCCTTACTGTTTCATGTACAAGTATAACGAGCGTGGCGATTTAATGACGACGCGATTTTTTCATTCGTGGTAAGTTCAACATCTCAATGTAACGAATACGAGAAATAAGAGAGAAAAAAAATAAACGCGTCTTTGCAGGTTGTATAATCTTCTGAATTGGCTTCAGCTAATAATCTTTGGCCTTCTACCAGCCATATTCTTGTTCATTGCAAATAGTATTATGTGCTTCAACATGATGAAGATGCTCAACCAGCGGAAAGAATTGTTGAAACGATGTAATGCCAGAGAATGTAACCAGTTTAGGGTATGACAATATTGACATTTTCATGATTTTAATCGTTAGAAACGGATAAGAAAATGAATTATAAGCTATTGCAATAGAAAAATAGAAGAAATGTAATATATGAGAATAGATAAGAATAGTTTGAACGTTAGACAATTTTTAGATTTAATAATGACGTTTTCAAATATTATATCTTTGACATGATATATATAATTATAAATACGCGTATTACTTTCAACGTGAAACATCATTTGAAAAATATAACTTTTTAAAAGGTGACACGAGCAACGAGATTATATATTTTTTTATTTATTCAAGTAATTATAATCAAGTGATTATAATACGTTTCGATATTTTTTCAAAGACCTTTTAAATATATATGTATTTGACTTCAAATAAAAAGAAAAAACATTATTCCGTTATATGAAATGACCCGAAGTAACAAATGTTGCTACACAATATGTGCGTGTAGTGTAGAAAGAGAGAAAAGAGAGAGAGAGAGAGAGAGAGAGAGAGAGAGAGAGAGAGAGAGAAAGAAAGAAAGAAAAATAGATATCTCCGAAAGAAAATAAAGACAAAAGCTTTAGCTGGAAGTTGTTTTATCGTAAAGCTTTCTTGTTTCTTAGGATCAAACGAGATTGACCGTAATGCTGGTAGGCATCGCATTCGTTTTCGTCGTGGGCGAAGTTCCAACACACTTGGCATCACGTCGTAGCGCAATTTCTCTTTTATATGATGGCGATCTAACCATCGTCCATGAAGTTTTTCTCGAAAGGTGACAACGCAATCTTCGAACCTTTTCAATTCCTATTACATGAAATAGATAGATAACAAAAGTAGAACATAAATGTTTCAAAAATAAATAGGAGATATTTTTTCGCTGTCCACGTTTATTTATAACGGCGTTTAGTTGATTCATATTTGTTTTAAAATAGTTAAATTGAAAAATCGATAAACGATAATAAACATGAAACAAATTTTTAGAAAAAACTCAAATAGATCGGTTTTATCACGTTCATTTTCGTTTAACTTTATCGCTTGTTAATTATTTAACGTTGATAAATGAGTATTATGCATTAACAAAATTCTTAAGAATAATAGACGATTGTTAAAGGCTGAACAAAAAACAATTCTTTATTTTTTATTTTTTTATTTATTTATTTATTTTTTTTTTATAATGTGATTAAAAGAATGTTATTTGTCTGACACAAATGAATTAATAATTGTTAAAGATTTTTTTCTCTCTTCGATAATTTAATAAATTTAATAACATTGTACTTTTTCTTCACAGATTTCGTATCTTCGCTACCCTCTTTAGCGCTATCTCCAGCTCATTCAATTTCGTGCTCTACTCCCTCTTGAGTCCACATTTTCTCTCACATTTAAAACAGGTCCTCTATAGAAAGTCTATATCACGGGAGACTAACACAATGAGGATAAATGCGATCGTTTCAGGAAGTCAATTAATGAACGTATCATATTGTAATTTATTCTCTTAATTTTTTATTCAATTATATATATATATATATGTATGTGTGTGTATGTGCACATAAATATATTATAATATTGAAAACGATATCTCATAGTTAACGAAAATAAAGCTTTTTTATTATCGCAATCGTTTAATTCTTTTTATAAGAATCCTGCATTTTTTACTACTTGAATCAAACTCTTTTTGAAAGAAAAATACATGAAAAAGTTAACAAAAAACAATAAATATAATTTATGTAAGATTACGAAAAATTATCTTTGTCTCTTACAATTCGAAACTCGGTTTATCTAATCGTAATATCGTTGAAATTTTATTTTTCTTAGAAGAAGATTATTATTTTTATTATTATTATTATTATTATTATTATTATTATTATTATTATTATTATTATTATTATTACTAGTAGTAGTAGTAGTAGTAGTAGTAGTACTAGTAGTAGTAGTACTATTACTGTCATTATAATTTTCCTCTTGTTGACGAAGAAGCATTCGGTTTGCAACGACGTAAATCGGTCTCTCATTGTAATTCATTCCACGTTGACTATTAAATTTCTTCCACTTGGAACCCTTCAATGGACTCGACAAGAAGAGTTCCGAAGCAGCCGGAAAGTTTCTCTTCGCTGATGTTGATCCTTTACGAAGATAGAAAAACTCGCGTGCAATGTAATAAAATAATTCGACCAAACTTATAACCGAACCGCCGAGGCAAAGTCCGAAAATACCGCCGAAGGATGCTACAAAAAAAGATTTTCGAGAGAAAAAGGAAAAAAGAGAAAAAATAAAAAAGGAAAAAAGTTTAATTACATCTAAACAATATCATTGAAATTTTAATATATATCATTATAAATTATATAGATGTATTTTATAAAAATATTAACAAATTAATTTGCAAATAAATCATCGAATAAATATTATTAGATTTTATTCTTATTACTTACCGAGAAGGCTATCCCAGCTCATAATATTCTGTTTTCGATATTCCATGTAAGAGATGTCGCGAAAGTAAACGTAAAGGAAGGAAGCGTTTTTGTTATCCAAATCACGACTGCAAGCAAGCACGACGGATAAAAAAAAAAAGAGCAAGAAATTGTAGGGTTCGACTTTACAATTGTAAGAAAATAATACAAATGATTCAATGTCATTCTTACGTTATTTCAGAATTGTATCCAACATCTTGAATGGGTATACTCTCCGATACGGCATCGTAAAACGTATCCGAGCATTGTGGCAGGCAATTGCATTCGTTTTCGAACAACGTTTCATATGTTGAGACAATTCCTATAATCGCAAAAAAGTATCGTTTATAGCTATTCAATGATCGTTCTTTTACATTGAACAAAATTTAATTCTAATAAATTTAAATCCGATTGCTATTCTTAAAAGAAAAAGAGATTTATTTTTATTTATCTATTCATTTTTCTTGTTTCCTTACTTCGATGATTCAAAATGCAGTCTATGTCCGTCAGAAAGCAAGTCCTACTGTTTTCATCTAAAATAGAAGAAGAAAAAAAAATAAAAAAGAGAAAGAAAAAAGAATCAGAGAATTTGCTAACGATAATAATCGATCGTAATATTTACTCGGATAATAAAATGGTAGACAACCGCAATATTTGTGTATGCGCATATAGATGCAGTTTGAGACGCAAGATTGAAAGCTGTAATTACTGTTACCCCTCACCTGAAACAGGTTTATCTATGATATCGTATATGAGTATGTATGTAACGCTTGATAAATGCGTATCAGATCGGTCGTCTTGACGAGTACATAGTGATAGAAAGTAAAATTTTTTATATCTGCATAACTTTGTTATCTATTACAAAGATTGCATAAAATTTTATTGGCAAATAGCGCTCGCAAGCACTAAAGTTATCAACGAAATATAAAATAATGTCTTAGACATTCATTGTAAATATAAATCATTATGAGTCAGTATAAATTATTTTAGCGATATCTTGCAATCAAGATCTATCATTGAAAGTGACCGACCAAAAGTTTTTCCAATTACACAGTACAGACCTCGTCTTCGAAGAGACACATGCGTTTTCTTAAAGGAAGCTGTCGTAAATCTTGTGAGCTTTTGGTTGTCGTACCGGAAATACCGATCCCTATGACGTGTCCTGGCAATACGCTGATCGAATGAATGTCAATGTCGGGATAATCCTTTGGATCATGAATTAATACGGTAGCACCCGCGAAAGGTCTATTAGAACTCTTATAATGTTCACCTTCGACGTCCAATGCAACTGTTAGACCTACATCACGTCCTGATCCAGGAGCTTTCTAAATTCATAATATTTATATTGTTGATGGTTAGTACTTTTCATCTTTCATGCGTGTAGAATTTTTACATTATTTTTTACTTTTATTTCGTCTACAAATAAATTCAAATCGTTCGATTTTACCTGAATTTGTCCAATTCCTGGTAATTCCTCTGATGGTATGTCCGAGCGATCGCTATCCTCCGATGAATTTTTTAAGTCGTAATTATCGTATCTATCAATAAATGTAGGAAATAATTTTTATTTATGATACTTTTTAAAAAGTTACTATATTAAAAATAATTTTGTCGATACCCATATGATCGGTCCAAATTAAAATGATAATTGAAGGCACAACAATAGCCTTCTCTGGATTTAACAGCTTTGAAAATATCACTACAATTAAATTTTTGTCCAAGCCAAGCGCACCTCAATAACATCGTTTTGCAGGGTTGCATCAACTGTAAGGATGAAACAAGAAACAATTATTTTAAAGATCCTTTTTAAAGGAATAGATTTTTAATCAATTACCACCTCGTACATGAGCCTGTCAACTGTAAATCCGAGAACTTCAAGTGCTCGTGTTGCTGTTAAATTGTCGACATCAATTTTATCAGGACGTGTTAGTTTCATCAATGAAACGAAAAATTTCTCTCTTTGACTGTGGTTTATACCATTTTTAGATCTATCGATGTAATAAAAAAACAAATGTCATTCCAAATCATCATTAAATAAATAAAAATAATTATGAATTCTATCGAGAAAGTAATTCTCGTTTTATTTTTATTTTAGATATTTTCTATAAAAACAAATATTTCTTATAAAAACAAATATTTTCAATCAATTTGATTATTCACAAACTTGTAAACTCAGATAAGAATTCAACATAGAGTGATAAAAATTTCACAGATCTTACAAAATATTTCCAAAGATTTTTGCGTGAGGATTATAAACTTTATTGTTGTTACAAATCGTAACGCCGGGAAAATATATGCTCCATATAGGATTGGCTGTACTTATGGCAGTAGCTGTTGGATTCTCATCAAAATTATGCCAAAGTCTCATCATCAGGATAATGCAAAAAATGACGCTCATTATACAAACCTGTAGAAGATAAGATAGATTTTATATGTACGATAACTTTTAAATCGAATAAATTTCTTACTAAGAACCAAAGCATCCTCTCAATTATTGTTGATTGATGAACAGTCAAGTACCGGAATCCATGCAGTGTTGTGTTCTTGCAATAGATTTTTATTTTTTCTTTTAAACACTGAGAAATCGCTTTTCTCCTTCCTACAACGTTTTTAATTTGTAGAATATTTGCATAATAATAATATAAAAATTTGTTTTATTCAATTTTACTTACTACGAGATATACTACGAAAATTATGAACTCTCATTATTATTTAAATCAAGTTTCCGAGTTTACGAAGCTAAAGCTACGAAGAAATGAGTTTGAGGAAAGTGAAAAAGATTCAAAGCAAACTGACCATGAATTTTCTCACTTTGCATTGCTATTTTTTTTCAAATATCACAATCAATATTTCCATATCAATTACATTTTTTTTCCAATTTTCTTAAGTGCATACAACGAAATTGCATGACTAAATCAAAAATATCTATTTCTCATAATCTCTCTAGCTTGGGGTAATATCCGTCGATATGTAGTAAACATTGAAGTTACGCATTACGAGTTGTTGTCGAGTGCGTCATAAATGAGATTAAAAGTTTGTGACCTGCATTGTACCACTTTGAGTGTACATACAGAATAATAAAGTTAAGTATTTTATGAAATTGTTCTTTGGAACGTATAATAAGTTTCTTGGTATAACTTTTCTTCGAAAAATTCTAAACAAATACAATAGAAATTTAAAACTATCTTTAGGTATGATCGTAGAAAGTTTATCATGTTCTTGACATAACAAGGAATGGAACACATCGAGTGTAAATGATTATCTCCGAAACTATTAAATATATCCAAAAATCCTTGTGAATCCTTAGATTTTATAATAAAAAATAAATGTATGTATGTGCGTATTTTCATTCTACTGTCTAAGTAAAAGATTTTCAAATATTTACTCGTGATCCACTAGAGAATATATTTTAAGTATTAAAATATAAAAAATAATTTACATGTTCATTAGGAAAATTTTATTTATCAAGAATCGTCGGATGAACAATTAAATGTTAATTCGGTTAAAGATCACATGAAAATTATTATTTTTGTCTAGTTTTTTCTTTATATCAAATCAATTTCAAATTACTTATCAATCAAGTATCGTTAGCAATTACACTTTCAAGTAGGTCACGAAAAATTACTCAAAAGTGGTTCTCAGTTCATAAAAGTTTGAGAAGCCCTAGTCTAACGATTAGATCGATTGACTTAAACTTTACATCAAAAATGAAGTTTTCTATTACAAAGATCCTCGATTAATTCACATTCGATCCTACTTCTGCTTTCAAAATTCAGATTTTACATAAAACAAAACTCTTTGTACGATGTGTTCAAAGAATGTTGTCATTTAAATTAATCAGTATATATGTATTTTATTTATTTCAGAAGAATAATACAAGTAAGAAAATTGAAGTTTAATTTTATTATTAAGAATATGAACTTTCGTTTTATATTTTTTATTATTAATACTTTTAAATAGAAATTTTTTTTATAAACTTTCCTCCATTTTTCATTTTTCATATATCCCTTTATTCCCGCCGGTTCCTATTTCGCATGTGCAAACATTAAAATGAAGTTAGTTACAGAAAACAAATATCTAAAGTTATCGAAAATATTTCTCTAAATCTATAAGTAGCAAGCTTAACAGTGAATGTCTAGTGAATAATAACTAACTGTCGAGTAAAATTTTATCTTGCAATTATTTAATTAGCTATTAATTAAATCAAAATTTACCTGAAGGTTAAATAATTCATCAAAATTGAATTTAACTGTGAAACTTACTCATCGGAATTACTTTATTCAAAGGTACAGAAGAAATCATTTAGGAATATTTTATTTTTATCAAAGAAAGTTGGTCACTTATATTACTTACTAACCTCTTTAAAGAATACGAGTTACATTACAAAAATGGCGACTCGTCTATTAAAAATTGGTTCTGCTCTGCGAAATTATTCTGATAAAACGAATCTTATAAAGGTAAGAAATATGACATTTATGTTACCTGTATAATATTAATTTGTTTGTATAGAGTATTATAAAATTATTGCGATATAATTCGTTATAGATGTAGATGATGACAAAAAGTTGGTCTATTGGTCTAATCACCTTACGTAATAATAAGAATAAAGTATTTAAACATTTCTCTTTTGTCCATATCCAAATGTGTGTGAAAATTAATATTCCTAAATTATGTTATAACAATAATAATTATTTTTTGAATTGTTATATATTTATATATTATAATTGACAAGTGACTTTATCAGAATTGACAGTTCTTTAACTTTGTTCAATGACTTTTCTTTCTCCTTTTAGATTCCAAAACAATGGAGATCTACTGCTGTTTCTTTAAAAGAAATACTTATCAATCAACCAGCAACCATGGTTTCAACTTTAAACAATGGTATGAAAATAGCTACTGAAAATAGTGGTGCTTCAACAGCTACTGTTGGACTTTGGATAGATTCTGGAAGTCGATTTGAAGATGATAGAAATAATGGTGTTGCACACTTCATGGAACACATGGCCTTTAAAGTAAGTTTATTAATAATTCTATGTCCTTTATTGAAATATATATATATATATATATATATATATATATTTATATATTTATATATCTATATTTATATATATATATATATTTATATATATAAATTTAGTTTCATTCAATATAATCAATAAAATAAATTTAAATTTTCTTAAAACAAGGGTACTACAAAACGCTCACAAACTGATCTAGAATTAGAAATTGAGAACATGGGTGCTCACCTTAATGCATATACGAGTCGTGAACAGACTGTATTTTATGCTAAATGCCTTTCGCAAGATGTTCCAAAAGCAGTTGAAATTCTCAGTGATATCATACAAAATTCAAAACTTGGTGAAAGTGAAATTGAAAGAGAACGTGGTGTTATTCTAAGAGAAATGCAGGAAGTTGAAACAAATCTTCAAGAGGTTGTATTTGATCATTTACATGCTACAGCGTACCAAGGCACTTCACTTGGAAGAACGATACTTGGACCTACTAAAAATATTAAAACTATTTCAAGAGACGATCTGGTCTCATATGTAAAAACTCATTATGGTCCAGCTAGGTAATTCACAACTACTTTAATATTTATTATAAATTACAATTTACTTTTCTTTCTTACAGGTTTGTTTTAGCTGGTGCTGGTGGTATTGAGCATGAACAATTGGTAGGATTGGCAAATAAATATTTTAGCGGAATGTGTCAACCAAAATATGATGTAATTCCACCTTATAAACTTCCCTGCAGATATACTGGATCAGAAATAAGAGTTCGTGATGATAGTATTCCACTTGCACATATTGCTATAGCAGTTGAAGGTTTAGAAGAATACTGATATATATATATATGTGTGTGTATTATGAATAAACTTGCTGTTACTGTATGTGAATTTCGTTCATTGCCTGTTTTAGGTGTAGGTTGGGCTGATCCAGATAACATTCCTCTTATGGTTGCAAATACTCTTATGGGGGCATGGGATCGTAGTCAAGGAGGTGGAATAAATAATGCTAGCAATCTAGCTAAAGAAAGTGCAGAAGATGGATTATGTCATAGTTATCAAAGTTTTAATACGTGTTATAAGGTAATATTTACTGTAATAAAATTAAACATTTGTCTATTTTAGTATCCTATATCATTTTTATTATGTAAATTTTAGGATACTGGACTTTGGGGTATTTATTTCGTTTGCGATCCAATGCTATGCGAAGAATTTACATGGAGTCTTCAAAGGGAGTGGATGCGATTATGTACATCTGTTACAGAAAAAGAAGTAACACGTGCAAAAAATATTCTCAAAACAAATATGCTATTACAACTCGATGGAACCACTGCAATTTGTGAAGATATTGGTCGTCAAATACTTTGTTATAATCGACGCATTCCATTACATGAACTTGAAATGAGGATAGAAGTATGTATACAAGATGAATGTATTAAAAAATATTGTAGAATATATCGATAATATTTATATGATAATGTATTTATTTTAGAATGTCACTGCCAAAACCATTCACGAAGTTGGAATGAAATATATTTATGATACTTGCCCAGCAATTGCTGCAGTTGGTCCAGTAGAAAACTTACCAGAGTACAATTGTATTCGCTCTCGCATGTATTTGTTGCGTGTATAAAGTTATTAATACATAATAAAAGAGTCGCCATTGAAGATGTAAACTTTAGTTTAAATTTATTAACATAATATATTTGCAATGTGCAATAATCTCCTATTTAAATATTCGAAGATTCTTAGGTATATGACTCAATCGAAAATATAATATCTTTAAATTTTACTTTTCATTATATTCTATAATACCTTGTAATTTTACTACCATTTATCAACAAAGTACAATGAAATAAAATCTCTGAAAAGTATATAAATTAAGTAGAAGATATTGATTTAATATATACGATCTCACCTGAAAAAAAAATAGACTTTATCAAAGCTATAAGTAATTTACAATTTTAATAGTGCAATTGAATATTTGCTTGAGTTCATTGTACGTGAATAAAAAATTATCAGAACTTTGTTATTTTACCAAATTTTATTAATCTTTACAAATAATATTCTATATATGCCAAAAAAAGCAAGAAATCACATCGATTTTCTATAAATATTTAGATAATTATCTTAAAAAATTGAATTAATAAACTATAAGTAGTTGCTTATCATTTTAATAAATAATTCAAAAAGTATTTTATATAGTTTATAAGAATTTAATTTTTGTTTAGATATGGTATTAAATACAATACACAGACAATATATATAATTAAAATATAAAACATACAAATTATTACATCTAAAATTTAATATTATAATATCAAAGATAATTCATTTATAACATAACTTCACTTATGTTATAACTGAAATTATATTAGGAGTTATAGCACTCTTAATATTATGCTTTATGAATATAAATTTAATTAATATACAATTGACTTTTTTGAGATTCATAGAAAAAAAATGTGCACACCTATTTTCTTTGTTCACATTCATTCAAATTAGAGATTATATGTTTATAGTGTAGCAGTATAATGTCATGTAACTATTTTGCATGACTATTTGATGCTACAGTTGTTTGTGTTGGCGAGTCTGTATCTTTGCAGATTTTAGCAGTCATTTTAGCTAGTGGCTTTAATTCTTTTGTATTTATTAAATCAAATTCTGTTACAAAATAATAAAAATGTTTGTAGCATGTATTTACATGTGCTTCCTAAAAAAATTATAAAAAATATTATAAGATGAATTTATTCAAGATATTTACATAAAAATACTATACTAGAATTGTTACATTAGTAAGTTACAACAAGAATAGATATAATTTACTTACTGCTCCTATAGCTACTATACGATCAAAATGATGAAAGTATACATGAACAAACACTCTAAAGAGTCGAGTTAAGATTTTACGACACAGTGGTGTAAATGTTTTTGGAAATGGTACATCTGTAATAAAAATGTGAAATATGTAAATGAAATAAACAACTGTTATGTTGTTCTTATATATTATATATTATATGACAAAAATATATAACTGATATACCTGTCGACACGGGAAATATAGTTTCATTATTTATTTTTACTTCTATCCAATCCATAAGAAGTGTAATATATTGAGGAGCCGGAAGAACAGTTGGTTTCTTATATTTTTCCCCATCTGCCCACAAATATTCAAAACGTGCTCCACCACTCATTGTTGGACATGATGCAGAGTCACAGTATTCAGATATAGTACCATATATAAGATTTATTCTATTAAAAAAATCTACAACTAAATACGAAATAATTATATGCAAACTATTCATATTTTAATAACTTTTTAATAGAATAAACCATATTTCATATACCATGAACAGCAATCCAATCATTGATATCCTCTTTTGGTGGTAATCTGACTACAGATCTTAAGTTTATACCTGAATTAAGTGAAGCTTGAGCTTGTTTATGTAAAGAATAACATATTGTTCCATAAACAAACTTTTTCTTTGGTCTGAAAGTCTATAACAGATATTATATAAAATATTTCTACATAATTAATATAAAAGTTTGTTTTAAGTTATACAAAATAATTTTAATACAAACCAAGACAGTTATAATTTACCTTTTCCTTTTGGAAAAATTCCATGAAATTACTTAAAGTAGTCATTATACAATAAAAAGTTGTATGCGGCTTTTTGATTAATTAAAAACTATTAGTGTAACCGATTATATAAATTAATCAAATACATGTAAATAATGTACATCTGAAAATAGGTTATACATAGCATCTCTCATATTCGATATGAGTTTATTACAATACATTTAAATCTAACAATTTCACATATTTATACAAAAAGTAAACATGCATTTACGTAAAAAAATAATAGCGATTAATATCATGCAAGTTATATTGCCTGTTGTATGAAACTTCGTCGCCGTTGATCATAAAAAGTAATCGATGTATATTTATTGAATACAAAGTAGTACTAATTAAATAATGATGGCATCAACGTATAGAATGAATTACATATCCATTGCTAGAAAATAGAACTTTATAATTTATATGACAAATCAGTTATTCAATTTTTAGATAAATTTAAATTTAATTAATAATTAACTAATTACATGATAAAATGTTACCGGCCAGTTAGTAATTATTTGTTGTTTCATTTACTTTCAAGGTTTGAAGTTAACTACATATAACTTTCAGAAAAGATTACAATTTTTATTAATTTGAAGATCTGTAAAAAATTTATGATATACCACACTGGACAAAATTTGCTATAGAATGACTGATCATAGAATGTCATAATTATCGTCTTACAGTTTTTAGATCTGGCTGAATCTTTCAGATGGATAAAAAAATTCGAGTCTTCCAAATGCTAGGTTTACTAGTTTATTTCGATGAGATCGCCACTTATCGACAGAATCATGAATTAATTTAATGTCAATATGTGACATTTTATTGGTTTACGTTGATAGAAATCTGATTTTTTAACTTTTCAAGTTGTGATATTAAATTTTCCAAATTAATTTTTATCTGAGCTATATGACGATTAAAATTTGACAAAATATTAATTTTGATAATACAATTTCTATAAAATTTCTATAAAATTTCCATAAAATTTCATAGAAATTTTAAAATTTTAGGAATATATCGTCCTTGTCAACCACATTCAGCAAACGAATCTAGGGAATATTTTTGGACAACAATTACAATAATTTTGTAATTGTATTTCACGAATTTAGCTATTTTTATAAATTCTTTGGAATTTTATATTTCATTTAATAATAAATTATTATATAAAGTTTTCCTTTCAAAATCAAGAATTAAACATTACGATTTGATATCATTTAAATACTATTCAAACAAAATACGTTGGGTAGTATTGTTTCCTGTTCGGGAAATTTCCTGTGATTTCACGATAAGCGATAATCGACGATCGGTAGTAGATTAAATAAATCTTGGTCTCCCTAGTCAATTAGTGTACGCTTGACAGTGTAGTATACGATAAATTCTAGAAATTTCATAGAAATTATAATTAAAAAAAGATTTACAACGAATTCGGAATTACTTGCTACGGAATACAGCATTCTGTATACGTGTAGTCGAGTGCGCTACATATTGCAATCAATCGTACTTCACTTGTATATTTGATATAATTTAACTAATCGTGTGATATTCAAAATGTCTTTGTTTGGATCTCTAATGGGCGATTTCGATGATGATCTTATATTTGGGTTTGTACATTAATATTTCTTTTTTCCACGATATTTCTGCATGCATCTACAAATTATAAAAACCGAACGAAATTTTTCTTTTCGATTTCAATATTAATATAAATATATTGTACAGATATTTGAGGACGTTCATATTTTGCCCTTTTTTTTATTTTACAGTTGAAAAAAAATTATTTTAACAACTTGTGACATAATAACGACTTGCGACAAATAAAACGTACTTGTATTCAATAGTATGATCTTAAAACTAAATTGCAGTGAATTATTCTGTTTATAATAATTATTTCGCTTGTTTTTAATGTTATTTATTTCATGCTTGCAATTGTTTCACATCGATGTAACTTATATCTGTATTACATCAATTTTAGTTTATTATAATTAATTCAAATACAAGATTTTAAAATGATTCAAGTATTTTTGTAAAATTGTAAGAATGAAAGCATTATTTAAGATTATTATTTTTGTCTGACAATAGATCTCATATGCGTACCATGAGGCAAATGAGCAGCATAATGAATTCTTTTTTTACCGATCCATTCGGAATGATGGGTCAGAATGCATTAACTGATTCACAAGAACGAAGTGGAGTACATCACAATGAGATGCAAATGATGCCGTTTGCCTTTCCGACTATGCCAGCTATGAACTTCAATAGATTATTCACCAATTTCGTAAGTTTTTATATGAACCGTTTTCATAAGTATTTGTATGTTTTTGATATAAGTATATAAAAATAAATAATACTTTATTATTTATATTAATATTCATTTAACATTGCATTAACAGTAATTTATTTAATGTTAATAAAATACAGGATAATTTGGCAACAAATGGAAACTGTCACTCCTTTACAAGCAGTTCTGTAATGACTATGGCCAGTGGTGCAGATGGACGCCCACAAGTTTATCAGGAAACAATGTCTACAAGAACTGCACCTGGTGGAGTAAAAGAGACAAAAAAAACTGTATGCGATACAAGAACTGGAACAAAGAAAATGGCTATTGGTCATCATATTGGGGACAGAGCCCATATTCGTGAAAGGGAACAGAATATTCATAATGGAGAGCAAGAAGAACATGAAGAGTTTATCAATCTTGATGAAGGTAATTAAAATTATATAAAAATTTTTCTTCATATAAAATCCAAAAATACTGTTTAATTGTGTAACTATATAAATGTGCACTAAATTTTTCTTATAGATGAAGCTGAGAGCTTTAATACTGAATGGGAATCATGTACAAGACGATCTGTAGGTGCAATTGGAGGGGCACATCATAATGCATATGCTAACTACAATAGACGTCGTCCCGACAAGCAACTTGCTTTACCCGATGCATCAGGAAGGTTAGTTTCATAATTCTTTATTAAACAATGCATTTCTAATATTTATAAAAAATTATTGCATTTATTAGCTATAAACTAAAGCTAATATTATGTAATAATGTATGAGAAACTCTGCATTAGAATTTGTGACTTTTCCGCAATATAACAGATTTGGAAATATTTAATATATCTAGCTTTATAAAACAATAAATATATTATAATATAATTACATAGAATACATAAATTTCTAAATTAAAGTCACATTTCACATGTGTACATTGCTTCATATATCATACACACTAATCTACTAACTAATACATATTATTTAACAAATTCGAATGCAAGAGTATATATCTGTTAATGTCATAAGAACGTGTTACTCTTATTTTTTGGAAACATCAACTACACATTTCATTCCTCAATATTAAATCAAATTGAGTTACCTTTATATATAATGTAAAATATTAGATTTTCATTAGTTTTTTTATTACAGATATTTTAGTTTCATTATTTAGTTTACTAAACGTTAGTTTCATTCTTATGCAACAGATATAAGAAGCATGGAAGAAAGTCTGGTAGAAAAATGTGATTACAATACATTGGCTGAAACCAAATCTCTTGGTGCATTCCTTCTTCAACTTTGTGTATGCATTATTGAAATAAATATATGCATGCTCAATTATGTTCATATTTACTTTCTAAATAAAAGGATTATTCAACCTTAATAAGAGTTAGCACCATTAAATTGTTAGCACAATTGTGTCGTTAGCACAATTAATATTGTTATCTATTTACACCTATTTTTATTTAATGCTATGTATGTATATGAAAATGTATGTATGTGCTTTGTAGAATTCAATTTTTGTGTATATGTACATTATGTTATACTGGTATTACTTATACTGGTATTACTTATACTGGTAATGGATGCTTTATTTTTATGTTAAAATATTTTAATTTAAATTATCAGTTAATATTTAAATATATAAGATTTAATTACTTCATCGAAATATTTAATTTTTTGATCACAGCAAATTTGAATCTGCTTATAAGCTTTAATATTCTCAAGCAAAATATAAATAAATAAATAAATCAACATTATGCGTTCATGACATAGTAAAACATAAAAAAGATGTTTGTAATATTAATTATACAAATTATATGTTTGTGTGTATAAAAATATATACAGGATTAATATAATGTACTAACCATGGAATAAATTGTATTGTATCATAAGTTTAGTAGTGTTTTAACTCTTTGCAATCAAAGTCCATGACATTTCCAGTTAAGTACTCATTTACTGTTGTTTAGAAAGTAAACTATACCCAATTTCTTTTATTGTATTGCACACGTATTCTTATATACTGTGCATATGAAATGTAAGTAAAAACTAAATTTCAGACATTTTATCCATTGGAGTAGGATTTCCAAACAATAATTAATTGGGCATATGTTGGGAAATAAAAATTATTGGAGCCAATAGAGTAGCCATAATAAGAAGTATTATGACTGCAAAGAGTTAACGATGTAAAAAAATTATTAACAGGTATCATTTTTATTACAATTTCATTACAAGTGATCAGATCTTCTTTTTTAGTTTATAATCTTAGAGAATTCCATTTTTCTTACTGATTTAATATATCGTGTATTCTTTGCTTGACATAAAATTACTTATTTTATCTGTTATGTCAATCTTATGTTATTATGCTTTCATGGTTACTCCTATAATTCTTCAAGATGGATACCTTCTTCTAGGCGCAATATTAAAGCTTTACCTTCTAAAACTTATGATTTGGCTTCTACTTCACGGTAAGATTTTTGTTTTATATGAATTTTGGTTATATAAGCTTATAATAAAATTTCAATAAGATATTATTTATGTATTGTATATAAAATGTTATAATTTAAAGCTTCATAAACAAATAACAAACGGTACTTTTATTATTTCATAAAAAAAAATATTCAGGTATTTGAATTTAAATTAGTAATATAAAACAATTACATATTACGATTAGAACTATTTTTGTTTCATATGTATTATACACAGTTATTTGATAATAGTATGTAATATTTACCATGTTTATACATTATTTCACTCCCGTGTTTCATTTCAATGCATGATAAGACGATGAAATATGTACTTTGTAATTTTAATTCACGAAAATATGTCCTTATACTGCGACAGATACTAAGATTGGTATGGAATATACCACCTTATGTATTGCAGGTACAACCACAAATATTAATAAATTAAAAGCATAGTACACAGCGGTGACACTTTTGTAACGTAAGTACGTTGCGTTACATTTTCCGTTATTTATCTTTATATCAACAGGATTACAAAAATATCAACTTTAGTTAATAAAAATACATAAAGTCATTAACACAATATATCTTTTAATTGTGTTAATGTTTTTACTCTGATGACTATAATACTTTGTATGTTAACAATATTTACTTATATTTCAAATTTTATATAAAATATTTAATATTTATTAGATCTAAGAAATATTAAAATTTAAAAATTATGATATATATAAGGACTATTAATAGAGCCAGAAAGAAACATTATTAAATATTTTAACTAATTATTTGACTAACTACTTTGTGTATAATACTACAGGAAGATAATTATATAAAATATATACATGCAATATTTACATTTTACCATATATAATAATTTAAGATTTAAATCAATTTGAAAAAAATGATACATTCAGAAATCATATATTTAAAAATGAATGATTTTCTTATTTTTTTTTATACTATAGATTATAATAGAAGATTGATAATTTTTCATTTTTAATGAACAGTCTAAATGTTTTATATATAATAATATACACTAATAATGTCTAACTGTTCCCCAAATAGTAACAAATCATGTATTAAAGCTTCATTTATTTTTATAACGTAATTTATAAATAATTGAAGCATTAAAACAAGAATAATTGCATGTTCACAGCTCTGACCCTCTTGCATCTTCTGAAGCTACCTATCATAGAAAGACTACTACAGGATATCGAAAACGTAAACATACTCCAGACACCGAATTTAAGCATAAGCGTCCCGCAATGTGAAATAGTAATGTTTTAGAATGTCTTAGCATATAATCTCTCAAAATATAATTAGCTTTGTCTGTAACTTCTCAGTAATCATTACTATTTATGAAAAACAAGTTGCAATTTATTTGCATTACTATTGTATAATTAAAAAAATATAAAATATATCCTTATATTTGAATTCATAGAATACATCAGAAAAGAAACGTTTCAATTGGGATAGTATTTTAATTTTTCTTATATATTGTTATTATGTGTTATTATTATTGTATAATCAAAAAGATATAAAATATATCCTTATATTTGTATTTATAAAAAATATAAAAAAGGAAACGTTTCGATTGGAATTGCTACTACTCTAATTTCTCTCTTATGTATAGTGGGATCAAAATATAAAATATTTAAAAAATCACAGCATTACCTTATATATGATACAAAAAGTTATGTTAGAATTATATTACTCTTATATTTTAATTATTATAAAAATACTCAAATGACGATTAAAATTCCAATCTATGTCTACTATTATAAAATTCTGATTAATAAACAGATTAATAAAACAATAAAATATAATCTCCAAAAAATTTTGAACCGATTTTTATCATTAAAACAGCATAATAATAAGAAATTTGGGTATAGAAGTGAAATCAATTTTATAAATCTGATTTATAAATCTTAAAAATTAGAGAAAATTTATCATTGTTACTTTCATTCTCACTAAATACCTACTTGTATTTCTTTATTTGTTTGTTTTTTCAGACATAGGAACATAACTTTCTTAAAAGTTTAAATTTAATTTTAGAGTAGGCTTTAATAAAGATATACATTTTTTTAAAAGTTTTATTTGTTCGAAAATTTATTTGCATAAAATAAATTTAGTAACTAAAACATTCGTGTTACACCATATTAAAAATCTAATAAATTAAAGCAACCCTGACATTAGCTTTACCTTAGAGAAACCTGTTGTATATATAAGAATAATATAATTTAATTTAATTTAATTTAATTTAATTTAATTTAATTTAATTTAATTTAATTTAAATAACGGGAATTTATCAAATTTGTTATTTTATATATCTCATATTTTTTTCTCATTATTACTGATTAACAAGTTTCATAACAACACCTCATAAATAAATGACGGATTAGTAAAATTAAATCTTAAAAAAATTAAGAAACTTAATTATGAAAAGCAAGATTCATATAGTTTCAATAAGTATTTAAACATATCTAGCATTTTGAAAATATACAAAAAAAAATAATCAATTTTTATAGAATATTATATAGAATTAATTTTTATATCTTTGCTGAATTTAGATTAATTTAAAAATGGAAAAATATTAAAAATAATTAATAACAGAGATTTCTTTACATTTCGTTGTCAGAAAAATAATTTTACATATAAGAAAGAGTAAATATGATAGTCAATAGAAATAGAAGAACATAAGAGGAAAGCTGGCAAAAGATATGATATAATATAATGTTGTATTGGCACCGCACAGGGTGGACTGTCTTCTGTTAATTATCCTCTGCAAGAGTGTTAATTCTTGCATTAATGGTCAAGAGTTGTGCCAAAAAAGTTGAATCACTCATGACAGTAGCTAGAGCTGAAAGCATATCCTTCAGTGTATCTTGTGTTAGACCCAATTGACGAGCACTTTTTGAAATAATTTCATTTTCCTTTGCATCAGGACTTATCTGAAAAGAATTTTTATTGTTAGAAAGGTTTTTATAATGCTTTTATTAAAATATCAACTAATTCAATCTAATATTATTCAATTTAGAAAAGGAATATGTTTTACAAGAAAAGTGATAAATCCATGTATACTGTTTTGTAATTTCCTTTAATACTCAACTAGTTATTCAATTGTATAAAATTTATACATTATAATTAATTAAAATTACTTTAATAATTAACTAAACTTACTTTAGGCGAGCTGCAGAATTTGTTGAATGGCATTTTAATCCTTTTCTTACCACTATTTGTTTGATAGAAAATCGTAAAAGTTTGTGCATTGTTCATGTCTAGGACAATGGGAAAATATATACCAGCTGTGACATGACCTTTAGTGTCTCGGGCAAGTAAACTTCTGAAATTGTAAACCAAATTTCTGCGTTCCGTAACATCAATGGCAGTAAGATATGGCCTTGCCATATAAATAAGAGCAACTTGTGTTCTTTCCAAGGCACCTGGTCGAGTTTCCCTTTCATGCCATTCGACATAATCAGGATCTTCAGCACACAGAAAATAGTTGTACTCTTTCTTACAATTTGGCTCATCAGATTGAGTAAACCAGCCCGTATGAGGATATAATTTATCAGCCATTACTGTAATCACACGAGCAACATGATAACCAGGATCAAGAAGCATAACACCTTGACGTCCATTAATCTTGATTTTCAGGCACACTAGAACGTGTTCTTTCTCTCCACTATCTGCAGCCGGTGGACCTCCAACATAACTAGCAATATCTCCAATCGTCTGTAAAAAAAATTATTTCATATTATATTACTTGTTGGTACAACTATGGCATTAAATTAAAATAACAAATAATAAATCTACTTCTTCACAAGACACTAAGTAGAGCCCACTAGCTATATCAGGATATTTGTTATTTAAACTACGTAATCGACGTAGTAATTCAAATCCAAGCCCAACACATGTATAGTGTTCAGGTGTTATTAAAGGCTGATATTTGCGATAAAATCGTTCCAATTTACTTTCTCCACTCATAATATAATTCTTGTAGAACCTATTCATATGATATAATATAGTACTTGATAAAGAACGTTACTAACATTATGCAAGTAATTTTTTAAGTAAAACTGTAGATATATACCTGAGGAAGTTGCCAATAGTGTCATATCTATGCTCACGCAATAAGCGTTGAGTTTCTAATTCAACACTGCCTGCTAGTTCCTCATATTGTTCGACCGTAGATACGATCAGGGCTGGTGATTCATAATGGGCCCACACCGGCAGGGGTAGCGGCACACCCCTGATCCAGGGCCCGCGTGCCTGCCCCTGTGGCTGGCACCATATTTCTGTCTTCTCGAGTCAACTCGGCCATTCACTGCCCCAGCGACCAACTGTTGGCACAAAGCCATGCTCATCCCTGCAGCTGCTTATTGGCTCTACAGGGCTCTCTCCGTGTTTTATACTCTTCTCTCGCTCTGTAATAATATCCATGAAATATATTTCTTAGAACTAATATTAAGAAAAAATTTCTACTAATATTAAGTTCAATTCTCAATTTAAGCTCAATTCTGGATCAATTTAAATAATCCATTTGTATAAAAATGAATTAGTTTATATAATTTGTTTGATACACATTTTACAATAGACTTATTAATATAAATAATTATGTTCTAGATTTCAAATGGCTATTATAATGCTTTATTTATCGTATTATTTTTCTTGATTATATATTCTCAATAAATTAGTATGTACCACAATTCCACTGCTATTTAAGAACACGAATCAACACCGTTCCGTAAGCCAAAATTTGGGAAATAAAAGCAGAAAAGCGGATCGCATTTGCAGTTGGTTTGATGTCCAACATGGCGATAGCGGACGCGTGGTTAACAATCAATACAAGACCAAATAGATACGTATCATGCCACGTGTCTACTGCGACCTTCGATATAATAATGTATACTCCGTAGTAGTACAGTCATATTATTCAAGGAAGACCCTAGAAAACGTTAATTGGGCGCTCGTGGCACTTCGCATAAAATAATTAACTTACTCCAATAGGTTTAGAACAAATTTCGTTGAAATTTTAAAAACTAAACCTAACGTAATATTATATTACGATTAATCAATTTCTTGACGAATACAAATGTCAACAATCTGTTAAAGAAAATAACCTTGAAATCGCTTATCACGTTGTATAATTTCTGAGAACTTTTGATTGTTTATGTTTAAATAAAATGAAAAAAACAGAGTATCTTGGATATATCTCTTATTGTTCCAAATGAATTAATAAATAATAAACATTATTAAGTATCGACAGAGAATAAAGAAAAAAAATCGAATAAACAAAGCTATTCTAATATTCATTTGACAGTACATGAAAGGTTCATTGTCCGAATTAGGACAAAAGCAAAATTGAAAGATTCAGAAAATAGCTTAAATAATATATTACACATGCATACCATTCAATAACCTCTATCATTATTTTGTTTTGATATTACGAAGATTATATATAAAATAAAATTTCTTACCCATACAATGAGCGCACCAAACAAATAAAAACTTTCCCTCCTCGGAATGCTTGCACGTATGCACACGTGTTCGAAGTCCAAGCAGAATTGGGTGGTGGAGCGTGAGCGGAAGATTATATATATTCGCGCCGTATCTCCCTTTTCCCCTTACCCTTTACAAGTGCCTATCGATGGCGCGTTTAAACCACGTGACCGTTTGGCTACATCCCTCCTTTAAACTTCTATACATTATTTAGAGAATATGGGCAATATGAGAATACATGAAAAACATATCTTAATATTGAAATAAACGTTGATTTCATAAGTATCGTTTAGCTGTTACAAAAATACACAATGGACGGTTATTCAATATCATTATCGCGTAGTTCGAGTAAAGTGAGATGCAGTTAAATGATCAGATCGTTTGCATATGCGCGTTACAAGAATTTTTCTACTTTCTTCCTTTCGCATTAATGTGTGCCTATCTATATTCGCTTTGAACGAATCATAGCATTGAACGAAAATCTTATACAACGTGTCATACTTCTGGGAATTTCTTCTCACTGCGTATATACATACTACTACGTCATTCATCGAATCCTAGAATCACCTGTTGTTTATTCCGAAAGCGATGATGTCATAAGAAGCAATTGTTATCTTTTATCGCTTCTTGAAGTACTTGCACAATCATGTATTGTATTATCAAGAAAATTACTGTTAAAAAGATCGATGATTAATCAACACACACATATATATATATATATATATATATATATATATATTTTATATATATGCATTTTTTCTATTATTCAGGAGGATTTTTATTACTATTTTAAATGTTAAATATATTGAAATATTTAGAGTAAAAGAAAATATATAAAAGATATAAATATTGATATAACAGAATGTATAATAATCATAAAAATAATCTATAATGAGGAAACAGAAAATGGTTAAATGTATGCAATAGTAAGCTTAAGTCGTTTTTTTTAAACGCAGTTCAGCGTGAAAGACGTCATAATTATGACAGGCTACACATCACAGTACACAGTCCATACTGACGTGAGTTCAACGTGGAGACTATCGGCCACGTGATTATAATGTGACCCGATATGCAGTGCGATTAGAACCAGTTACGACGCAATAATCCTATTTACTTATAAAATACAAGTTGATATCCCATATTTTTGCTTTGTTTTATTGCGAAAGGTTAGGAATTAAGAAAATGATCTTATTTCAATATGAAATAAAAAGTAGAAAAAGATATGTACGAAATTTCGTAGGAAAATTAGTAATAAATTCCCCCCGATCCCTTTAATAAACTCAGAATAAAAATATTTATAGAAATCCTCTTTATTATTATTTATTCTTTTATTATTATTATTATTATTATTTTCTAATTTCCTTTATTTTATTTTTAATATATTATATATTTTATCTCACACTCAGATAACATGTTAGATATTGTTTGATCACATCTTTTAAATTAAATCGATAATTTATAATAAAATACTTGAAAGCTTATCTTTATAATTAATTTCTTTCTCGTTTATCAGTATTTTATATATTAATAAAACATAAGAAAATATTAACTTATGTTTAAATAAAATAACGTAGTATGTTATTATATAATTTGAAGATTATTTATAGATCTTTGTTAACTCGAATATTCGATCTATAATGATGTAAATATTTAAAAATAAAATTTTTATTTAAATATTTTATTATTTTAATTCTATTTTCTTAATTTTTATCTTAAATTTACCAAAAAGATTGTTATTGATGTAAACAAAATTAAAACGAATTTTTATTCTTATCTTTCTTGTTTTTTTTTCTGTTTATGTAGAATTAATTCATTTATTTATCATATTATTTATCGCATTTGCTTGATTAAGTTCGACTAATTAAAGAAAATATTATTATTGAAGTATATAATATCTGTAAAAAATATTTATATATACGTAAAACAATTACAAATTATTACGCAAAATTGTGCCATCTCTATAAGATATCTTATATATGTATAATAAATTCAAAAGTAAGTTAGTAATACTATTGATAATAAACTAAACAACAAATAATTTAAATGAATTTAATTATCAATTTAAGAAATTTTGAAATAAAAAAATAAATTCGGTTCATATCAGTCGATAAAACAGATGATATATATATATATAATAACCGACATTAACCTATTTCTTTGTGTGAATATTATTCCATATGGAAGAAAACCATTATATAATATATGAGTATTGATATATTATATGTTATTTAATGTTGTTTTGTGATATTTTGTAGAATTTTTTAATCTTTTTATTAATTTAGAATTTTAGTATAGATTTGATATAGAAAAATCAAAATGATAAAATTGAAAACATTGCCACTACTTGATAAAACAAGCACAATCATTGTAGAAGAAGGTACAATAAATTATACAATCAAAATAATAGTTTTATGTATTATATATTTATATATTTAATTTGAACATTGTTAAAAGAGATTATCTTCTTTTAGATATTAATGTATCTTATGGAAAAGTTCTTATCGCAGGATGGTTACAAATGTGGAAAGAAATAGAACCTAATGGTATTATAGAATTAATGTCTTTTGTAAATCCGAAGTCTTGGTATTTAAATGGACCAAAACCATATACATTAGACAATGTAAACATATCTGATTATTATACTGTTGAACCAAATAAACCTCAAAAAAATTTTGTTAATATTTTACAAGATATACTTGACAGAGTAACAGAGAAATCTATAGTGTTTCTTGATAATTTGAATTCTTTGATATTATATGTAGGCCTTGCAAATTCATTACGATTTGTAGAAACACTTAAAAAAAAGGTAGAGCGATTGATTTGTCTTTTTAGACAAGATTGTATCCCAAATAAGATATTATCTATTGAAACTATGGGAAATACATATGTTAGATTACATAAATACTGTGGTATGCATTCAAATAATGAATTTACTTATATTGCAAATTACATACATCGCAAACCAGGAGGCAAAATATTGCTTGGGTCAGAATTAGTGAGACAAGATATCAAAACATATGATATACAAACTGAAAATTTAAAAACACAACTTAACTCTGGAAAAAATTCAACAACTACAAATGATGCTACAAAAATTGTATCTTCTTTTAGAATAGAAATAAATGAACATGAAATGAAACAAAGAGAAAACACGCCATTACCTTATATGTCTGTAATAAATGCAGAAAATAACAAGTCTAAAATTTTATATATACCAGATGAAGTAGATGACTTGGATGAGGAAGACCCAGACGATGATTTATACATATAATTTGATGTTTATTATGTTTGTGTATATATATTCATCTATCCAAACATTTGTTAACCATCGTATATTTATTACATTTTTCTGTACATTCATTTATTAGATATAAGCATTAACCTATAATATAATAAATATGCTAAGCTCAATTAATTAAAAAGATTGTATACACTAGAAACTAATTTTTTAACAGGATTAAATTATATATTAATTACATATACTAAGTCAATTTTTCTTTGGAATTAACCTTAAAGATATACGCACATTCATATTTACTTAATTTAAGTAATATGTACATATTATAAGTTTTAAAAAATTTATTAACAAATGATATTGATTCTATTTCACTTATTAATTTTCATTTACATATACATTCAATATATATTACAATATAAAATTGTTATATTTAAATGATCTATTATTAAATACTTAATATTTTTACACAAAAAAAATATGAAAAAATATATAAACTGTTTGTCTTGAGGTGTCTACTATGTGATAAATAAATTAAAAATAATTAATAAAAACTCAAATAAATTAAAATACATCAGAGTTATTAAAGTTTAATGCTATAGTAATGATAATAATAACAATAAAATAGTATAAAAATTTTGATATTAAATCCAAATCTATTCAAAATTATGCAGAAAGCTATCATTCTGGATACTACAAATACCATAAACAAGTTCTTAAAGGAATGGCTATGGCTTGCACTTTCTTTCAAGACCAGCTTAAAAGATTGAGAAACAATAAATAATAATAATAATTATAATAATAATAATAATCATAAATAAATAAATTCCTACAATAGCCACACTAGTATGGACTTAATGAAGTCCGTCTATATTGGTTTGAACCAGAATATGAAAATCTTTGAGCAATACGAAATAATAAACAATAATATACAAATATATTGTATAAATAATGACTATAAGAATAAAATTCAGAATGTGCTAAGAATGTACCAACTGACCTTAGACTTAGGCCAATGAGTAATATAATTATTTGACACTTTAATTATATTTCGTTTTTCTTTTTTAGAAGCTAAAAAGTTTCTAAATTATTCTAAATTAATTAGTACTAACATACTATGGATTGAATGTATAAAGCAAATTTTTATCATAAAAATGATGTGTGCCATCAATATGCTGCAGTATTCTACTTTCTAAAAGACAGCGACCATAATGAACAGCATCTTCTCGAGTTTGGGCTAATCCAGCTTCTAATAACCAATCTACTAAATCACAACCAGTAAAAACGCCTCGATATATTTTTAATAATCTTCTTCGACATATAGCTATCCGTGCCCTACATTCAGCTAAATGACACCGATTAAACTGTTCACGAATAGCTTTTATTTCTGGACTCAATGCATCTTCATCAGGCAATTGTAATTCTGTTTCTGTCAATATTAAAAAGTCATATATAATATATAATAAATTATTACATAATATAGTATATGTTATATAATAAATCAGAAATATTTTTTTATATAAGAACAAAAGAAATAACAAAAATATTATCTTACCACCATGCAATTTGTGAAGAAGTTGGTGTAACCAAGAACTCAATTTATTGAGACCAGGATCAAGTCCAAATATTGCAAAAGCTATTAATGATTGACCAAAATTTAATGCAATATCTAAGAATGCTAATTCTGCATAAATACCAATCATTTGATCCATAATTAATGTACTAATAGATATTGATAAACCCTGAAAAATATAAATGTCCAATTTTAAATTGTAGCAATGATGCATTGTCCATAATTATGTTATTAAAAAAGAGATGTAAATATTAAATAGATCTTACAATGAACATAGAACATAAAAGCAGGATGAGGAATACCATATGTCGTAATATCTGTGGATCTTCTGAATCCATTGGAGTTACATTTTCTTCTCGATTACAATCAAATGGATAAGTATTACTCCGATCCATAGTACACATTGAATTGGGACAAACATTTTGGAATTCACAATTAATGCTATAAGAATAATTTATGATGTAGTTTGTATCTATTTATCTTTGTACTTTATGTATCTTGTAGATATATACAGGTTGTTACGAAAAAGGATACCATTTTTAGAAGACATAGTATTCATTAAATTGAGTAATCAAAGTTAATGACTCATCTTGTAAATATATTAGTAGATTAACTTTATACATACATTGGAGTACTCCCTGAATGAGAGACAATATCTTCTACATCAATAACATTCCTTCCATTATTATCATTATTGACATTAGATCTTTCTGCTTCGCTGTTTGTACTACTATATGTAGTTAAATCATTTCTGATGTAATTATACCTTTGTTGTAGAATTAAACAGCCTAATGTTACTGCATACAATAAAAAACAATTTTAATAATATATTTTTCTAATAAAGTTTTTGTTGTATTATTATGTATGTTTCTTACCAATAAAACAAAATATCAATACGGCAACAGATATTGCAGCTTGACTCCTGCCAAGTTGAAAATTTGGATTTTGTAATTCAAATTCGATTGGCTCCTTTGGCATTATGCAAATACACATTAAAGATACAATCAAAGCTGTTATTCTGTAAACAACGTTTGTTAATAAAACTTATTTAAGATAAAGTAATGTAATATAATATTTTCATACCCACAACCACTAAGAAGTAGCCATTTTTGCATATTTTGGACAAATGATAATGAATGTGAATTCAAAAAAAGAAGAGTTACTGCTATTGCAACTGTCCATATTCTACTTCCATATACACCCAATGAAATTAAAACAAATTGGATATACCTAAAATAAAATATTTATTTATATTTAATAAACAAATTTTATCTTTAATCGTATAAACTATAATTTACCATAAAATAGATCCAGTAGTATTTGCTTCAAGTTTAGTCCAAATTATAACACCAATTGCAGTAATCAACTAAAACAAAAAATAATGATTAATAAATGTGTATAGAAGAGTACCTTAAACATATATAGATCTGTGATAATCATTTCATTAACAAACCTGAGCAATTATAAGGCAGAGAGTATATCTGTGTGTTACACTTTTATACTTGTGACTCACTCCAAGAAAACAAATTAGCAACCATATACAAGCTACCATAGATACAGTACTTATATCAAAAGAGAAAACTCTGAGTTGATGAGCGTAACTGGCTGGTGTTACGCCAGCATCAACAGCACTAACCAATTTAGCTGATACAAACATTAGTGGAGCAGATAAAAATGTACAAGCAACCATAGCTGAGGCTATTAAATCAATTTCTACATTGTAGCGCAATGTAAATATAAAAAGTGCTGGTGCTGTTGGAATTGTACCATAAAGAAATCCATATGTACTTAAATTTCTGGTATCAGTAATATTATCACCAGCATTTAACAAAATAATTGATTCTCGAATAACAAGTGGAAGTACTAGCAATTTTACTGATATCAGTATACCTGGTATGACTAAGGCTGTACCTTTTAATTTATGTACTTTTCCTACCATCATTAAACCCAGGAGAAATAAGGCACTAGCAGAAAAAGCATTACCAAGTACTTCGAGAATAGCAGCAAGAAAAGGTGGTATAACATGGCTAAATATTAAATTTCCTATAATGCCTAAGATGGTCATAAATAAAACTGGATTTAAAGCAACACCTTTCATAACCGAATAAACCATTGACCAACAAGGTTTATCTTCTTCTAAATTGCGTTTACTAATTTCTAATAATATGAAACCAATAGGATTTAAAATAGCTAGTGATATAGGAGCCATGAGATACAAGTATGCAGCATATTCAGGATGAGTTTTTTGATAAATAGCACCAACTGAAAATAATAAGTTTTTTAAATAAATAAATTATAAATGAAGAACATATTTAATGAACTTACTCATAGGGTAACCTATGGCAAAATCATTGCTTTGTGTGGTAAATATTGCAAAGAGAGCTGCACGACCAGAATTTGATGGTTTTTTAATCAATAATGATACCACGAGTACAATAAAAAATACACAGCTTTTTGCAAGTAATATTGCAAATAAAAATCTCCAATTGACCAATGTAAAGTCTAATTTAGCCAATGATGTAAAAATTAGAGATGGTAGAGCAAAAGTACCAACAAAGGTATTTAAACCATTTGCCTCTAATTTTGTAATAACATTAAATCTTCCCGCAATATACCTAAAAAATAATATAATTTCTAAGATTTAAAGATTGTTTAATTTTTCATAATAAGATAAGCTTAAATAAAGCATATATATATATATATTTTTTTTAAATAGATGATAAGATAATACAAGTTCTTACCCACATAATATTATTCCAAAGCATTGTATCAAAGCGATATATAAATTATCAATTGGATCAGAATTTACTGATATAAAACCATCCATGTTGATTAGTTCCACATTTGATAAATTAGTTAACATGATTCTGTTAAAAAAATTAATTTTAATAAAAATTGTAAATAATATTAAGAAGATTTTTTATAAACATATTATACATTTTATTATCTCATAATATTTGTCATCTTTCCAGAATAATTTGTTTATATTTATTTAAAGAAAGAGCTATCTGGATAACATTCTCACATAATTTTCTTCGTATGGTCATTTCTTATATCAGAAATCCATGTATGATGCATGCTAATCATTGCTTTCTAAATTTTTTTTTCTTCTTTTATGTAAACATTGTACAGGAAACTTCACAATCTACAATCAAACATATTGAAAAATCTATCTTCTGTCTTTAACACTCAAATTTATTAGTATAAATTTGATAATTAAAGTAATATTACTGCAATCAATAGAAATTATTTAAATAAAAAATTATGCAAGATCTATCATCAGATTAAAGATAATCTATCATCTTACAAACATTCATTAAAAAAAAAAGTATTATCTAACGTTTTTTTACTTGACTAGCGGATATATAAATGATATTAAATTATAATTTTCAATTTCTTTTTTATACGAAAGGATTTTATATTATAAAAATTTAAATTTCAAAGAATTTTAATTTCTTTAAATTTATGTAAATAAAATTTCTAAATTATTATAATTGTTATTTAATAATATTCACTAAATTCGTATCGTTTATCTAACTAAGAAATATGCTTGACAAAAATAATGTATATTTTACAAATTCACAAATTTGTCACAGCTTACCATTGTAAAATTAATACGTTCCAGAATTTCTATCGCTGCGTAATTTAAATTAAATATAACTTAAAATTGTTTAATGTCAAAATCATTTAAAAGAAAACGAATACGATTTCAACTGACATCGGTTGAACTGATATTAAAATATCACGTTTTGGTACTTAGTTAATTCATGACATTGTCGATAGTTGGCGATCTCATCAAAATGCACTAATATTTTAGGAGCCTGATGTTTTTCTCTGCTTACATAAAATTTTCGATTTTTATTAGACATGAAAATATATACAATCGATACATATTCTACTGATTATAATTTAATCTTTCTAATTCCTATTATTGACAATTCCAATACTATTCTATTGTTAATTATCGTAAAAGAAAAATTATTGTTAAGATGCAATTCAATTAAAAATAAAATTTTAAGGCTGTTCATACAATGTCGTTCGAAATGTATACGATTTCAGTATCGGTAAGGGAAAAAATTAATTAAAAGTACGTTGGCAGAACACCAGCTTTCGATTCATTGTATCAGTGTATATGTTGGATGCATTGTGCCTTTATGCTTTCGACACGCATAAATTGAAATGAGACTTGACTAAAAGTTGAGACTTGATTACGATCATATCTTCGTTATACTTCAGAACGTAGCTTTTCTCACAAACAATATTTTACGGATTCAAGTTAGTAATAAATTTTTATGTATGTATATATAATATCATACATATATACAGCAGATAATAAAATACAGAAGGTAACTGTATTCAAAATTGCCTAAAAGAAGTAACCCTAGAAGTAGCTATATTCTCATTATCGAAATTTTTGTTCGATTTTTATGATTATCCTTTCAAATTTTTAAAACAGGCTTCTACTTACAAAAAAATTACTCGTACGAATTATTTATCTTTAATCATCATTTTTGTAAGGAAAATAACAATTTCCAAAAGTTCGAAAAGTATATATATATATATATATATATGTATGTAGATATGTATAGTTCGTTATATGCAATTATACGTAAATCTATGCAATAATAATTATATGACGAGGCATAAATTGAATAAACGCTTATGTCATGCGATTTATTTTCCTCCGGTCTTTTTGTCTTGTCGGTACCAGTTTCCAAGTAGATCAGCGAATTTTATTCTCAAACTGGCTTCTTAATTTCTTGAGACCTTAGGCATTATCTATTCGAACAAAAAAAAACACATACATATAAACATAGCGCGCGCACTTGTGTATGTATGCGTTTATGCATGTATATATTGAAAATAGAATTAATAAATCATTGATAATTAAATCAAACTTAAAAAACTATTAAACAAATATTATATATAGGTATATATTTATATATATAATATTAATAAAAAATTAGACAAATCAGAATTAACGAAACAAGAGCATTTGCGAACACGTCTGGACGGCTGCTTCGATTTCCTTACATGTATCATGCCAGGGCTAAGCTTACGACCATCCTTTGATTGTTTGCTCATGTAGTACTCATTCTTTTGTTAATACTTCCTAAATTCTCCGAATAATACAAATATATATATATAAACACATACGCACGTATGTATCATGTAATAACATTATATCATGTTCAATTGTTTTTATGTTGTTTTTTGACGGTGACAAAAAATTCGTTGGAAAGGAATGTTCTCGTAATTGAACTTTAAAAATGAAACCTTATTCATCAAAATCGGTCAAGGACTTGCTATTGGCGTACCATTATAAAAACAGGGATGGTGAACAGCCTTAATGATTAAATTCCTATATATATATATATATATATATATATATGTGCACATACACAGATGCTAGAGACACATCACAAAAAGACAAAAGTTGGCAACGTAACGCCCTCTTCCAGATCCTAGAAAAAACTACGAGTTCCTTTAATTATTTTATTTTTGTCAGTTTATTTTAATTAAGTTAAGTTTTCTATTATCAGGAAGTATTAACTTTTCCCGCGTGTATGAGTCACGTATTTGCAATTTGAATCTTACAAGAAAAGTGCAATTTATAATGTATCTAGTATTTTCTCACTAGAGATTTCAATTAGTCTTAGATAAATTTGTTCAGTATGATAAGTATGCTATATAAATTTCGATTACAGGGTAATCATATGGCCATGTGATTGGAGATAAAAAAATCGTGATAAAAATATGAATCATATTAGATCGTGTGCTATATTTGTCGTAAAAAGGAACAATTATTTCAAAGAGAGAATAAATTTTTATCATGGTTATAAGCGACAAACAATGAAAAATTATTACAAATGATTTTATATTTATTAAAAAATAAATTCATTTGCTTATTTCATTCCAAGGAACAATATTTATATAGACGAAAGTTTGAAAGTGCAGCAATACCAACGTTACATTTGCTGGTTATGTAATATACGTAAAACTTGATCAAAAATATATTTAAAGGCTCTTTAACCAAACTCAATTGTCATTAATCGATCAGCAGTGTAGCAAATAGTAAAACTTTTAACTCTATGTTATTCTTAATTTATATTTTCGTGATATCAATAACAATTAAAATTGTACATATAATTGGGAACATAAAATATTAATTAAAATAAGATAAGAGAATGTACATTTGCATGGCCATATAATATGTAAAATATTGATAAATAAAATTAATTTAAAAATAAAACAAAAATCCCATAAATCATATAAACGATTTGTTGTTCTTTCTTTTTATAGACAGTCTAAATTTAAAATGTTAATGGGATATCTAAAGTAAAACAATATAGTTTAAGCACTTTTATTCGTATTTTTCAATACATTTGAAAAAAATCACAACAATGGATGTGGATATACCATTCTTTAAAATATTAAATTTATGACTGTATATAAAATATTACATTATTATGTAATAAAAGCAATAAAAATATTTTGATAATATGATAAATAATATGATAAATAATGCTTTGGAATATATCAATACTTTCAGCTGACATGTAAAAATACATCGTTATCGTATCATAGTATATTGCCACAAGAGTCAATCTAATTTGTTTTTTGCTGAGTAATATTATTATAGTCAATTTATTAGATCATGTTAAATGCCTCAAAATTTCTTGATTTGTTACAATATCATAAATATTATTTCATAATTTTAACACATAAATGACAGCTATATTTTGGCGATATTTAGGCAAATGCCGGCTATAGCCGTTTTGCACATGACGACTAACGCTCAATCTCATATAACAGTCATAAACAATTGAAAAAAAAATGTGTTTCTGAGCGCGATCATCATATTAAAAGTGTGCGGCAACGTGTTAATAATATATTCATACATTTATAAAAAATACATTCTATTTTTCATTAATTAAAATAAATATTTATGCACATACAATAACTTTACATATCATAATACGTTTACATTTATTTTATATTGAAAAAATAATAAATAATATTTTAATAGTAATTGTTTTATCATTTTCACATCTTTTTTATTTTATTTTTTTTACTTTATCAAATTGTTACTTTAATACTTTTGGCAATACTGATCCGTCACTAGACATGCCAAAAGAGATTCCAATTTAATTGGATATTTTCTTTTCCCGGGAATATCACGTGATTACAAATTGCTTCCGTGCAATATAAAATAAAATTAAAATAAAATTAAAATTGAATATCTAATTAAACGTTAAACTGTATCACGCGTAATGAAAAAATATTAATAAAATTCAAACGTAACTAATAAACTCAATAATATTGTATTTGAATAGAATATTTCTTTTGATTAACGATATATCGTAAATTTCTTATCGCACCTTTAACGACCTACAATCGATTACGTTTCCATCCCTCTCTGTCTCTCTCTCTCTCTCTCTCTCTCTCTCTCTGTCCTCTCGCCCTTCTCTTTCTCTCTTTTTCTTTCTTTCTCTCTCTCTCTCTCTCTCTCTCTCTCTCTTTCTCTTTCTTTCTGAAAAGAATATCACTTAATGTCTCCTTGACAAAAAATTCACTTTATTCCTGTATCGTTTAATTTTTATCAGCGTTTTTTTTTCTTCCTTTTATCTACTTTAAATTACCGATAGAAGAAAAAAGAATATTATCCTAGAGCAATATCTCAGAAATGTTAGTTTAATTGCATAGAGATGTATCAGATGTACCTCCCCAAAAATGCAGTGCAGCTGCGAGCAACGATTTGTCTTGCATCTCACTTTCTTCTTCCATCCTCTTTTTACGTAGGAGCTCCCTTCTGAAATGCCACAAAGCGCGTGTGAGTATGTAAACGTAGAGTGTTACAGGAGTTGGTAGAGGTCGGTAGTGGGGGAAGAAAGAACGAAGGAGGGACGTGAAATGTGTGGAATACATTCTATCGGGAGCAGCGTGTCCCCCTCGTCGCCATCACAGCCGTACGGGGCACCAGTGCACATAGCAAACCAAGATTGCCAAGATGGATGCCCGGGCTCGACCGTCGAGAAGTATGGATTTTACCGCGTGATTCGTATGCGCGCTCTTTCTCTTCCACCCACTGGACAATGGGAGAAACATAAGGACGCAAGGATACGAGTGTTCCAATGTCTGGCGATAGAATATTTAACAAATTCGAATTCGCGAATTTTCGCGATGCGATAACAAATCACGTTCTCTTTACCAAGTGATGAGTAAAATATCTGATATTGAGAAACGTGTTAGAGGACATTTACAATGGTGGATAACAATTGTATCATCGAGGGAAACGTCAAGTTTCGCGATGGGAAGAAGGTAAGTTAGTTATATCTGCGTGTGTATGTTTGTGATTTTTAATTTTTCTTTTTGAATATTTTCATACGTTCGTCTTATTAAAAAATGTAACAATTGGCAATTCCGAAATACGATAATGTTTGTTGCTTTAGAATCTTTCTTTATTTCTTAAATATCTGCACGTTGACAGTAGCGGCAACGCGGCGCCGGTTTCTTTGAACACAAAAGAAACAAAGAAAGGTCCCATTCCTTTAACAAGGCCTTTTGCGTATCGTACTTATTCAACACCTACCTGAAAGCCACTTAAACACGTAATATCTACTATATCGAGCAAAATTATGTAATACGTGAATCTACACAATCGATATATATATGTATCTATTCTGAGAAAAATGTCCATCTGAATATAGATATTTTTATGTTTATATCTGATCAAGTAATATCATAAATGCGAAATTAGAAAAATTCATATTAACAATAAGAGTCATTTGATTTTTTAACTGGTCAGAATTAAAATGGATGTGAAATAAAAGAGTAAATATTTATATATGTATAAACACACGCACGTACACATACGACACACACACGCGCGCGCGCGCGCGCGATACAGATAAAATTATAAAAGTTATATTTTATTTATTTTAATTATATTTAATTAAAGAATATTTATACTTTCTTAGAATTTATTTACTGGTTGATTTATGAACTGATATAAGCAATATAATATAAATAGAATATATATAAGAGTATAAGTATATAGTGTATATTATATAGTGTATGCTATATACTAGTGTGTATAATATGAGCTATGAAAAGCTAATTCCTTTTTCCTTTGTTTGTATTGGGGTAGCAAGAGGTATTTAAGTCAAGGAGGGTAACTGCTTCTTTTATTTTTGGTCATAGAGGATATATAAGGATCTAAACAGTTGCAGACTTACACACATCACATAAATCTGAATTGTCTAAAGTATTACTATTTATGCATTTTGTGTATTTTGTTTATTACTGAAAAATATGACCAATATTTATACAAATTTCATGAATCAATAATATTAAAATATGTATTAAAATGATTAATGCATATATATGAATTAATCATTCTAATCAAATAAAGATCTAACAAAATATGTTTACTTGATTACAGTGGAAGTCACGATGGTGCGTAATGAGAAAATTATCACCAGTAGCAGGTAAATCCTATTTTTCATTGTTTTGCATAATATTTATTTTGAAAGATCGTGTAAGCTTGTACATTATCTGGTGTATGAGTGCATTGTACTCTAGTAAGAGATATGTAGCAGGAAATGTTATGATTGCATTATAAAGTTTGATGTATTTCTATTTTTGGTATTTTCAATATATGAACATTATCTTTTCGCTTACATAGTTATAGTACATTCGGTTTTATCTTTTTTATCAAAAGTTTTTCAATAAATTTTTTTAGATAATCTTTTCTTTTTTATAAATTTTATAATTTTTTATAAATAATCTCTTATTCAATAAATAGGATTTTGTTTCATCTTTAATTAAAATATGAAATATTAATTAAATTAATTTGATTAAAAAATTGAATCATCAAATATTTCTCTAAAATTATTTTTTTATTATCCTAGTCTTGAAAGAATACTTTCAAGCTTGTTATCACAATGAAGGATCCTTCCTTTGATATATTTTGGTGACAGCTGGCACATCTGTTAGAGATTAACTGCCTGAAGAAAAAAAAATTTAAGAGCTACCCTACTTCTAGCAATAGCTACCAATGCATGATCTTATAGCTATTAATTGGGAACACTGTAGTTTACATGGTCTTTTACTGTATTTTTTTGGTTTATTACACATACAAATTTTTTACAAAGTCAGTATTATTACATAATTAAATATATGCACGTATATATATATATCTTTTTAAAAGTAATAGTAATATTATACAGAATATAAAAGTGTATTTTGTCTTTCAGATTGCTTGCATTTACAACTTTATGGAGATAGCAAAGATCGTTATAAACAAGGACAGACAAAGGCATCTTTAAGTTTACAACATTTTCTTGGAGTAGAAAGTGGTTTTACTCTTGATAAGGAATCAAACACAATTGCTATTATTTGTCAAGATGTAACTGTCGTACTTGCTTTTGATACGCGAGAACGACTAATACAGTGGCAAGTAAAGATATCAAATAACTTAGGAGAAGGTACGTTACGAGCAGAAAACAAAATTATTTTTCAAATGGTCATTGTCTGATACAATGATTATTTGATCTTTACAGATCAACAATTTTTAATATTGATATCCTCTGCACCGTCAAAGGCAAAACTTACAAATGGACCAGCACATTTACATATACAGGATCGTCGATTTTGTATTACAGTTGGTATTCCACCGAGGTTAGTTGGAATATGGGAAATCGCTCATTTACGACGTTACGGTGTCGTCGAAGGAAGATTTTGCTTCGAAGGTGGTTCAAGATGTGGCCGTGGCGAAGGTCTTCACGTTTTAATAACGGATCAGGGTGAAGATATCGTTAAAACATTACATTTGGCTGCAGAGGGAAAATTATCTACAAAAAAGAGACCGCTTGGCCGTGAATCCTCAGTACAAGATAGTCCACGGCGACAATTTAGTAGATCTGAAACTAGAGCAAGCGATTTTTTTCCCTCCGCTGTATATTCTTCGACAATATCATATGAAGACCATTGTGACAGTTGCAAGAATGGCAGCTCGTCTTATTGGTCATCTGCCGAAAGTAGACAACAGACCGACGGTGAAGGTGATTACAGTTGCAGAGACACAGTTTCTGTATCGGAATTGACTGATCAACCCAGCGAATGGCGTACTTGTTCGCTTACTCGTCAAGGTACAACTGGTCTCGAGAGATGTGCCAGTTGTATCAGCAAGTTAGGAACTGTATCAAAATCCTCTACATTAATAACGGGTACCGGTACAAGTAGTATAGGTAGTCCAGCTGGTGCAGTCACCAGTCTGACATGTCATCTTCAACCACGAGCTTTCGATCGACTCTCCTTATCGTCTTATAGCAGCAGTAGTCACGACAGTGATTATTCTGGGTCTCAACAAGTTGATTGTCACTGTTCTCAATCCAAAAGTTCACAGGTTCGTCGTTCGTCGCTCAGTCCAAATGTTTTACCACCAAGACCACCGAAACCGTCCCAATGCACTGCCATGAAAAAGTCCAAGAAACCGCCGATGCCACTACCGAACGAACAAATTACCACTAATGTGCACATTCAGAAAAGTAACGTGCAAAGTAACGTACGTAATAGCAATGTTGGACCTTACGAGAATTATGATGTTCCAAAGGCTATTATAGGTCATCACATGTTATTAGAACAAGCATTGCAGACGGATCAATATTATGATACTCCAAGAAAAATAAGGGAATGTTTAACGATGCCAAAAACTTATCCCAATTATGATACGCCTCAAGCTCCGCAAGCTGTTGTTTTGCAACAATGCGGTTGTCCTGCGAAACTTAACGTTCAATCGCCTAGATCATCTTCAGCCTGCCCATGCCACAATGTCATGAGCTGGGCTGGATTCGTTTTACCGTATTGCCGACGTGGAGCAGGAATTGAACCTATGGGTGTAACTGTACATCCTGTAAAATTATCGGGTGAAGGAAAAATGCCTGTCGTTAATGCCAGTGGTGATGTTTCTATTTACGCCACTGCAAAAAGACCGAATAAAGGACAAGCTAATGAAGAAAAACCTGATGAAAATTGTGAATGTGTAACAAGCAGTAAATCGACTAATTATGAAAATATTGAATCTGTTATCGATACGCAATCTGAATCTAAGCAAACCAATTATGCCAATATAGATTTCACTCAATCGTTAGAACACTACGAAAATAGTAAAGATATTCTAACAAAAAGTGGTATTTCACAAGAAGAACTAGAAAAGTTCGCTGATCAATTGAAAGATACAAAAATGAAAGCGTCGTCCAGCGAAGAAGGTTCCTTGAAAGTTTGTCAGAAATGTGGTCACATAAAAGAAAGAGATAATGACTATTTAGTCATGGATCCGGATAAAGAAATACCAAAAAAACCATTCACTGGTTATCTACCGATGCAACCGGCTCACAATGCTTGTTCCAAAGAAGTACTGTCCAGAATTTACAATGGTATGAAAAGTTCAAGCAATCCAACTTTGTCAGGCTCTTTATCAACGGATGGAAGTAAAAAACGTTCCGATTCAGAATATCGTGTACCAGGATCAGCGATGTTATCTAGTCCATATCTTCGACGTCGTCTTTTAGATGGTAGCAATAGCGTGGAATCAACTGGAACTATTGGTATTTTGTTAAGAAAACGATCTTATTCGGCCGAATCGGCTCATTATTTAGACGACGAAACTCATACATTCCCGTCCACTATCACTATACATAAATGCTCTAGTGAAGCCGATAAGGCTTCCTTGATAAGCAATGAGCCACATACATCTTGCATGAACTCAGAAATGAAAATAAGTCAGGAGAATGGACAGATATCGGCCGCTTCATCTCAACCGTCGTTCATAAAAATTCGTCGTTCATCATCCGTACCATCGAAAACTGGTCACAACAGGGATTCCTCCAGCAGCAATGACTCGGGAGTATCCACTGGTTCTCTCAGTCATAGAACGACTGAATTTGTTGAATTCGAAACATCGTCCGTAGCATTGACAAAGAAACAAAATGCTTTGTCGATATGCCGAAAAAGTCCACCGTCTACATGCTATCATAATAGTTTACCGAGAAAATCGAAATCTAGCGATCCCTTAAGGGAATTATCATTCCAATTTCAAAAGACTAAGATACCTACAAAATCATCCTCTGCAGAAGCCGATATACCTACGTGTTTGCCGAAAAGTACAAAAGGGTTTAATAGCCCTGGTGAAATATCGAGTAATGCACCTTACATTGATTCCAGAAGTACAAGCAGTGGTACCTCCGATATGTCTGATTATATTGAGACACTTTCCTTATCTTCTCATTCGTCATCCGATACACCAGATAGTTTAAGGTCTGTTTTTTTTTTTATTTTTATATAAAATTTCTGAATTAAGATTATATAACAATTATCGGTTTTCTTTAATTAATTTAGGTTGGGAGGCAGAGCTTTAACTACTACACTACGACCTCGTAGTGGTAAAGAATATTATAAAATCGATCGAAATATCTTGGTGGAACAAGGTCGAACGTCATCTGCCAATTATGCAAATATTACTCCTGTTCTTGAAAAAAGTGAATCTCCTTCACCCGGTTATATAAGCAGCTCACCCTTTGAGCAACCTCAACCTATTCGTGAACACTTTCTTTTTCCTGAAGTAAATAATGTTTATTGAAAAAAATGTTTTATAAAAATGTACTTTGTAATTAATAATTATTAATCTTACAGGAAGCTTAAATAACGTAACGTCCATAGCATCGTTGTTTTTGGGAAGAAAGTGGAAAACTTGAAGTTCCTAGGAATCCAAAACCCATAGGAGTATTTGCGTTAGAAGGTAATTCGAGTTATTGCCATTATTTACACTATATGCAATGATCTTGTATTTGCACATATATTTCTTGAAAAGCCTTTATGCATGTTTGGTATGTATACTGTTAACAAAAGAAATAATAATCTCAAAAAAATTCAACAAAATCACATCATTGCAAGATCAAAAAATTATGTTCATAATGAAAATTAATTTTTCCTTGTTTTATATATTTTTATATCATCTTTTTAATTAATTGAATCGAATTCATCAAATGGTATAACGGTATATATGTAGAAGAAATTAAAGGAATTTAAAATTCTAGCGTATAGTAGAAATGTGGTCAATGATACGGTACTTCCTACAACGATTTAAACAATTTCTAAAATTTACTCAATGAAAACTGTAATAGTTTGTATAGAGTAAGAATCCTGCCCTAGGATAAAAAATACTATGCATTGTATACTTTATATGAGTATATCATTTTTTGAATACATTTTATTTTATATGAGTATACTTCTATATAGGATAATTGTAGTAGTGAAAATTGAAGAATGTACTTAAGGGCTCCTTATTTAGACTGATTACCATAACACTGTACATCAGCATCTGTGCAACCAAATAATGCAATGAAGATAGTCAGTTGCATATAACGTTCACACACAGGGTTAATATAATTAAATTATTTTCTAAAAAAAAATAAGGTGAAAATAGTTTTAATAGTCTTCTTCCTCCTTGAAGAAATTTATATGAAGGTTACTGTAGGTGTTTGGGCAATCAAATGGCACTATATATAAACTAGAAGAAGACGTTGGAATAAATCTTAAACTATGCAAATTTTTAGCATATGAATTCATAAATATCTCGAATTTATAAGTCAATAATTTTCGTTATTTTTCGTTGATTTTCTGAATCTTATGCAACGAAATAGCTGGTGCGATTACAATATAATTTACAAAAGTACTATAAGTTATAAATGTACTTAAAAAATCGTGTATTCGCGTTTAGTTATATATTAATAATTGTATAATTATATTTTCTAAGAAGAAGAATGGATGAATGAAGTAAGTTTTTACCAAAAATATTTATTTTTATTTTAGTGATGCAAGATCTTTTGAAAAAGAGAAATATTTATTAGTAAAATAAGTGATACTAGTTGAATATATTCTGAAACATAAATATTGCCAAAGTTATGTGCCCTATTTCACACTTCTTTTAATAATGGAAATGAAGAGTATATGTTACAACCTGTGTAAAATACTTCACTTCCTTTTTTCCATTAAAGGAGTAAACAGAGTAAAATCTTGCACTAAATTAATTAATACATTGGGAAGATTGATGTAATAGGTGATATTTAATGCAATAATAACTACAATAGAAGTATATACTATAAAATCAGTATAAGTTGTTTTGCACTAAAATATTAATATAAGATATTCTATTATATAAATATATATATACATAAAACATACACATAGAGAGAGGAGAGGAGGAGTGGGAGGGAGAGAGAGAGAGAGAGAGAGAGAGAGAGAGAGAGAGAGAGAGAGAGAGAGAGAGAGAGAGAGAGAGAGAGAGAGAGAGAGAGAGAGAGAGAGATGTACATATACTTTTTGCTCCATGGGCAGATGAAATAAGTATTCAAAGTCAAAATTAATATTAGGCCATTTAACAGATGTACATTTTAGAATACTGCCATAGTATCATAAATATTCTTCAATAGTGAAACACACAGTTCTACATGTTATTAAACACTTATGTTTTTGAGGACTGTTATATTAATATAATATTGAAACAATTGTATTTTTATGCTTATTTTTTCTCCAATACATGCTTCTGAATTTATTTCTTCTTTTTAAAAATTAAATTTCTGTAAACATACCCTTATATGAAGAAAGTATAGGAGAATAAATTTCCATTTAAAGTTATGAATTTTGTAAAAGTATTAAAGTAGTATTATCAGAAGACTGAAAATAGTAATTGTGTGGAGTAATAATAAGATGGTATCAGAAATCTTAGAGTACTTTTTTGTAATATTTTATAATATTTTTTTCTATTGCATTATACACAATTTTACATAGTTAGAGTAAATAATATCTTCTATCGATTATTAAAATTATGAAAATATACAAAATGTAAAAATGAAATTATCTTGATTTTTACATGATATGCTTCATAAAATATATGCTATAAAATAGGTTTTTGAACAGGTTTATATATATGATTCTTTTGGACATTTTGTAGTATAATTAACTTGTACACAAGAACAGAAAACATCAAACTACTATAAATTATGCAAATATATCAGTTATTAATATACAAAGATAGTATAATGTAAAATATTTAACGTTATATTTATCTTACATAAATTTAAATATGCTGGGAATGATTAGACAAAAATTTAATTTTAAGAGTTTCAAAGATAAAGCTGGTACTATATCTCTGTAATTTACAATTCTATTAAACAATTTGTATATTGTAAATGAAACTGACTGCGCTGAACATACTATAATTGTTATATTATTTAGAGCATGCATCCGTAATGTAATGTGACTAATTTAAACAAGCAATTTTCATATCATAATTTAAATTTACTTAATTTATAAAGTAATTTTTAATAATGGTAAATCTGTGTGCTTACATGGGATTTTGTACAGGGTAACCCACTTTAAGTGATCCATTTTTAATGGAGTCAAACGTCTCCCATGTCATGATAAAAAAGTGATCATACTTATATAAAAGTACTTGAAGTCACGAACATAAACCATTCAATACAAAGATATATGAACATTTTTAAATCCCATTCTAATAGTATTTCTATAAATCATTCATAGCAAAAACGTTCTGCATCTAAAAATTTTTATTTGTATGTAAGATGTAGACAAGATGAGAATCACTTTTATGAACATTTGCTAGTCAAATATTAAGTACTATTATAGTCATAATATATTTTTATTGCGGAAAATTGTAGTATATGTAACTTAAAAATTAAACACGTGGTATATTCTCCTTAAAGTTTAAAGATTTCTGAAATAACGACTAATATATCTATTTATTGAACTTATATAGAATTAATTCTTCAATGAAAATATGATCAGTATAAATAAATTTTCTTTAAATCATGAAAAAAATGTTATTTCAAAATTTTAAATGAGAAATAACTAAATGCACGTGTTAATTTTTAAGTTATAATTGATCATATCTAATATAAGAATTAAATTTTGAATCATTCAATCATACATAACAAAAAAATAAGGATATTTAAGTATACTTTAATAATTAATTATGTACATATTTAATGCAAATCAAGTCACAATTAAATCTTCTTTATTTTGTAATTTCTGAAAAATATTGCTTATGAACGTAGTTTTTAACTGTATATATTGCATACTATTGTATCAAATTACTTTCCGAACATTTTTATAATATATTTACTGTAATACTACTTCATTTCTGATTTATTATCATACAAAGTATATAAAATCGGGAAATTCGAGAATTCCTTCTTTTTAGACTCTTAATTACATTTAGATATGCAAAGGAAGAAGTAAGTCATCTATTGTCGTACATGTAATCAAGATAACTCAGGTAGATACATATGTGTGTGTGTGTATATATATATATACATATATACACAATATAATATATATATATACAGTTTGATTTAAGAGTTATATTAATATACAATGCTAAATTGATTTTAAACTATTTCGATATAATGATATTACATGGTAAATTTAAACTTTTTAGCGATTATTTTATCAACTGATTTTATATAATAATGTGATGTTATTTCATCATAATTATAGAAATTCTAATCGAAATATCTCATATCTTTAAGTCCAATTAATAATTTCAAACATAACAAAAACAAAATTCATGTTTTTGTTAACTTAATATCAAGTAATATTTATTTACTATATTTATACAGCAAAAGTTCAACAAATAGTAGAGCTTTTACACAAAGCTGACCATTTAGATATCAACGATATTCAAACTGAAATAATACATATACAATTTTTATATCAATGTGATAAATCCTGATAAGTAATATGAAAACATTTTTTGAAGAAAATCGTTATCTTTTTTCCAACCGTAACAGAATTAAAAATAATAGCATATAAATTTTGAAACGTGTCAAGATATCATTATAGAAACAAAAGAACATCCTTATTTTATAAAATATAAGTTTTATTGTCATTCAATTATTTTCTAAAATTATAGAAATAAGTAAATTTGTAGAAATAAGTGTAATTAATGGAGCTTATGTACCAAGCAACACGGCTACATAGTAGAATTTCATTCTGATAATAAAATTATATCATTATCTTAAATTTTTATAATTAAGTATAGAAACAAGAAAATCAAATCATTATAGTGCAACAAATAATTTAAACGCATACGATTTGTAGTAGATGAAGTTACCAAAAACAAAAAAAAATAGTAGCTGAAATAAAGATATATAAAAAATATTTGTGTGCATTGTATCTTCAATATTCGTTTATCATTATAATTTCAATTAAATTATAATTTTAAAACAATCTGAAAGAAATATATAAAACAAAGCTAGTTAATAGTAAATATAAAGAAAATAAAACACTTTCGTATATATTATTGACAAAACATTTATAACAGTATGAATGTACATTTGCAAAGAACGCGTTTTAAAATAAATGCTACATTAGTCATAAATATTTGACAAAAGCAGATTCATTTTCAGTGGTAGTATACGGAATACTACAACTGACTTTTGTAATATTTATAATATCGATAGTATAAATTATCTATAAATTCACTTTCTATTTCTTTTAATATCTCTTGTTGAAATTGTCACATTTAACTATATTTTTATTACAGATAGACCTTGTTCACAAAAATACAGTTTCGATTATTTATTATTTTTTATATATTAGCAGTAGTATGAATAATAAAAATATTTTTTAACGAATTCTCTATTTATTACACTTTTGTTAACATAACTTCATTGTTACTTTTTTTTTTTAAATAATTTCATATCATCACAGATTCTTTTTTCTCTAATACAGAGTAAATTCTCAAAATAAATCATTTTATAAGAATGAGAATAGCTAATTACTATATATATGTAACTGTTTTTAAAAATATTTTCTATCTAACAAAAGAAAATAATAATACATAAATATTCATCATGAAATGAAGTAATTGAGAGATGGATGCATATAACATCGTTTCTCGATAATGGCCTTTCAAAAGAATAATTTAAAATATACAAAATGTAATAATAATTATTTTATATAATAATCTTTTATTATTAATTTTAAAATAATATTAAGTAATAAAGGCATTTCTCTGTTTATGAAAGAATTTTATGTTTCTGCAAGTTTTAAAGTAAGTAAAATGTATGAAGTTGTAAAAAGCAACAAATTGTCCTATGCATCCATTTACACAAATACTATATATATTTGCACAAGCTCATTTCTATACTACGTTTCAACTTGATTTTTCATACATATACTAGATATTTTTTCTGGCACAA